TTTATTTGAGCTTTACTAATTTATTCTCTGTGGTATCTCAAGTCCCTTGTAGGATCGTTTCCAGGTCCAGCAACCTCTTTGCAGTTTGTAAATGTAGTCGTTTATGTTTGAGTCTACTTACGGGTTTTCACCATGCCGGGAGGAAGAGGGTTGTTAGCATTTAGTGGCAGCACACTGCCATTCTTTTAACAGCTTTCACACACCTCATTAACCCTCATAATGGGTAAGTAATCAGATACATTCCACTTCTGTCTTTTTGTGTCTTAAATGGAAGAATAGAAATAAGAGAAATTCTGAGCTTTGGTCTCAAATGAGCTCTTTCATTTCATGCAGTTGAGTAAGTGGATCATGAAAATAAACATTATTCAAATACATTCATTGGCCTGAATGTATTTATGCTGCAACATGTATACAAGTACTGTAGAGGCACCACCATCAGTATTAGAAGCATATCATTACAGCATCTGATCAATTTAAAAAAAGAGTTTAGCCGAATTATGATGGCATTTATCTTTGATTTTCTTAACCTCTAGACTATATAAAGGTGTCTGTGTGAGCTTTTCTGTGCTGTGTAAGCAGGTAAAGGGACATGCTATGACTTTCAAAAGATTTCTAAGTAGCACATGCAATCTCTTTGGTCCTTTCTTTACTTTTAAGTCAGAGCCGTCCTTGAGCTCATGCAAAAGAAACCTTAGTTTAGATTTTGAGCTGTGAGGAAAAAAGTCCTCATCTGCATTAGTAATACCACTTACGAAGTGAAGACAGAGAGAGGGAGCATAAGCTGTTCAGGGCCACACCTAAGAAAAGAAAAGGATCAGTGTTTCCTATTCAACATACTACGGCTTATTAAAATGCAGTTTTATATTCTCCTACTTAATGAAACCTTGAAAAGGAAAGATGCCAGAGCATCAGATCCCCCTGAATGATTTATGATCAATACAGAACCACTGCTGGCAGCCAATTTAAGAGACATAAAGATAGAGGTTATGATATCTATAAGGTATGAAAGGGGCAATTGTTTTAGGTCACATGTAGACGCGTGTGTGAATGTGTCTTATAATTGCTCATCCTCAGACTTATCATACAACCTGAAGCCTTAGAGGAATTTAATCAGAAAGGGCAGACTATTCCTCAGGTAGCTAAACCACTGCTGCATCCACAGAACTGATTCTGATAAGGCCCAAAATGCTATGCTAATCTCTTTATCCTGCCCGTTTGAGTGGTGTGATTATCATAATTCAGCCACAGCAGGCAATTGCTGGATATTCGTCTGCAGTATTAGTGCAGGCATTGTGATAGAGATCAGATGTTAATGATGGGAATCAGACAGGAAGCAGACATTACCTTCAGTGTATGGCTAATCACCAGACCAGGCGCCTCAAGCTATGTCTGATAACAGTGCTAATTATTCCAGATATAGACTCTGTGGGGATTCGAAGAAACAGTAGCTAAGTTAATTGTCGCAACACTTTAAACTGATTAAACAATACCAGTGGTTTAATTCTGCCGCAAGTGAAGGAGGGAAAATCCCTGATGCAGCATGTCCTGGCTGCAGCTTATACAGAGAGGACACACCTGAAAACATGTGTTACCTCGTCATTAGGGTAACAATGGGAATGAACTGTTACCAAAAAGCCAGGCAGCATTAATAGACCAACTCCTCACTTGCAAGGTATGTGGGGCATTAAGGTAAATTCATACCAGGTCTCGGCTGTTTGAACACTGACGCAACCAAACTCGCTCGTGTTCACTCAGGCGCTGGTTCACACACCTGGACTGAAAAAAAGGAAGGCATGCTGTGAGCAGGAAATAAGCAAAGAAAAAGTTGTAGGTCTGACATCATTATAGCGCTCGCAGATTCATGGAGGCCTGAGAACTTGATAGGGAGTCAGGGCATCGAAATGAGCGAGGGAGGGAGTTTGGGCAGCCGAGAGTGCCGTGGCGTCCGATCGGTCTCTGGAAATGATTTTACCCTGAACAGAGCTGGGAACGCAGCGTGACATCTGGAGGTGATGACCTGAGCTCCTGCTTACTGAACTTCACCTGCTCCTGTACTTTCACAATCTGATGACCCCGAGGTTGACTGAGGCTGATGCAAAGTATTAGCTCATACTTAAAAGTTCTCCATTATACATATGCAAGATGATTGTTGAATGAAAGGTTTTGTCTTTCTTTGTTTCTGCTTTTACTCAGGCAATGCTCTCATCTTTGCATGTTTGCCATTTTTGGGCAGCTGCACAAGCAATGCACTGTTGTGGTGTTTGCTGAACGACTTTAAGATTAGATTTACTGTTGGAACTTAGTTTTAGAGACCAGTGTGGCCAGTGTGCCTATTTGTGGTGAGTATTCTCATATACTTGTGTCTGTTTTTACAGGGGTCGGTGCTTAACTGAAAATCAGCTTCCTAACTAATCAGAGCTGTCAAATATCTTGGAGCCAGCGCTGTTGGGGCTGAGCTTAGAAAATAGCTGTAAGGGGCAACCACAGACTATGTAAAATACAGCATGATGGTGTCCCACAGAAATGTCCCGTTTGCCATTTTAAGAATGTGTAAATGCAGAAATGTTGAGGTGCTAAATTTAATTTTACCCTGGCTCCTGTAGGAGTGAAAGCCATCGATAAATTCTTGAAGGACACAGAACAGACTGCAGACTCCAAACCAAGACCACTGTGATTATTCTGTTCGATGTGACAGAGTAGAAATGACAGACGGAGGAAAAATAAACTCTGAGTAGATGAAAAAACATGCTACATAGCATCTTTTAATGGTTGTCATGGTCTCTTCTGGTCAAACATGGTCCCAAATCGGATCTGAATTTCTTAATGTGACCCTGTGCAACCTCAATACCAAATTCAATCAAACAGCACCATAAATGGAAGAGTATAGATCACTCTAGCCAATCCTGTTAGAGCGTGCTAACAGGATTATGAGGGTTTTAGTGTGCGGATTCCACCCTCAAGCTTTCATTTTACTACTTACACACATAGCATTGTATTCATATCATCAGAGCCTTTCTGTGTTCCCTTACATTCCAGTCTCTCATCCTTGTCTTCACTTCCCTCCTCTCTCCCTCTTCATGTCCTGACTGTAGCCTCTGGCACTCAAACAATGCTGTGCAGTTTAATGCAGTTAAACTGCCATAATGTAACCCACAATGGAACACACACGTTCAAGCATCCAAAAAGAAAGACATTCTCCCAAATGTCCTGATGGAGTTGTCGTGATGAATGCATCTGCACTGCTGCGCTTATTGTGAGTGTTTGTAGGAATAAAAAGGTGAGAGGACTAATTAGGGATTACGTAGAGTTCAGGGCCAGACAGACGAAAAGCCCTTCTCTCCCTCAGAGCCCCTTTAGATAAGGAGCACCCATTTAACCCAGGTGCCAGACTTACTGACTTAGCTTTCAACTCTATTCAACGGCTGTTTTGGAAAACGACAAAGAAACTGGATGGAGAACAATTGTGCTTTTTCTCATAGTTAGTAGTTAGAAGACATGAAGCTGGTTTGATGTTTGGCATGTGATCCTACAAAATGCAGAAGACCGACAACAAAGATAAGTCATTGTTGTGCAGCAGCCTAAATTGCCTGCTGACTGTGTTGTCCTATTTCTCACTGAAGGCAGATAGGATGCAGATCTGCTGAGGGGCGAAACCTCGAATCTAAAAACTACTATGAGTTCTGGATGGAATATTTGATGATTGTTCATTTGAAAATGTGTACATAGGCATTGACATTTTGAATAAGAATCCTGTTTTTTTTTATCCATTATTGTCCTAATATATAGCCATCATTTAACAGAGTGGGGTGAAAAACATGGAGCAAGATCCCACTATTGTGGTCTGTCAGCATCAAGCTTGATCCTAACATCTCATCCCTCTAAATCAGACAAATTCCACCTCTAATTGTGGTCTATTTGGAGTTGTTTTTAAATTTATGTTGTGCCATAAATACACAACCACTCTTTCATTAGATCGATTGCGCAACCCAGCTGCTGTGGTGTGGTCAGCTCCCCTTTTTTATATGTTGCTGAAACAATGGCTGGCTTACTATTCCAAGGAAATATGGAACACTTCTGTGGATGAATGTTTTGTGCTTCATGGGATCGTATGCTTTGGTGTGCATGCACATTCGATAAATAACAGTCATCAAAGTCATATTCATTACAGTTATTTTGTGAAGTTTTATAGATTTTGGGGTTGTGCTTTAGGCCCCCTGTGGGTGACCATAAGTGTTCTGTTTACATCTGTGTGAGCTGTGGGAGAACCTCCGCTCCTGTATGTCAACGGCAGGACCCATTCTGGCAGCGGCCTCATTACACTGTGTTTTCTGTGTATTGTGAGTAGTAGAAAGTTGGAGCCTTTCTCTAACAACAGACAAAATACTTTGCTTATTAAAACACCAGCTTATTCTGTTTACTTTTAACACACATGCTGTTATCGAATGTCTTATTTCTACGCGTCGTTAAACACTGGACAGGAACACACAACCTAATGTAAAAAAGTTCACGGTTCTTGAGGCACAGCGTCCTAATGAATCTGCCCAACCAACCAGATCACAGAAGATTCATCACTGGAGGCTGCCCCGCAGCCTGTTTGTACGGGCTGTGTGCAGAGTATAGTCAGAGCACAGCGAAACAATTCTGGCATGAGTGAACACTGAATAATGCAGCCTTCTTAAAATAACGGATCCTTTGTGAGTAGATTTGTCCATGTAGGGACCACACCTCGGGGTACTGGCACACACTACGGAGGAAAAAAGCTGCCCTCAGTTTTGCAGCTCTGCACCAACGATTGTTGTAAAAGAGGGAGTGACATTTAATAGATCTCTACACATCAAAAATCCTACTTAGACATGTTGAAAGCAAAAACTTTGCAGAGGACATTGGAACATGTTAGTATCACTCAAATAGGAGAAAGGAACAGCACAAACACTCTGTCAGAGCCTACAAACCACACTAAGGTTTGTGTAACATTTACCTTCTACTTTTTTTTTCCACAGAGATCTTAGTGAGAACTTCATCCAGTCCATCCCCAGAAAAGCATTCAGAGGAGCCACAGACATTAAGAATCTGTAAGTATCTCACTTTCCAGCATGGATGGATGCACTTTGCTCTACACTGAACAATCACCGCCATTATTTAGCAATAACAGGTCAAAAGAAGATAAGGAAATAAGAAGGCCTTTTAACAAGTTCCCAGAGATCATTATGAGGTCTTATGAAGAATAGTCTGGAAATTCTGAACCCTCATGACACATTTATTTGAATGTAGTTAAGAATCACTAATTGATATAAAATATTTTTAATTAAAGGCAGATAATATACACAACCCTTTGTTATGTTTCCCAATGCATAGTCAACCCATAATTTGAATGAACTCACTAAATGTACTGGTGGTTGATGAGTCCTCCGTATAATGTTGGTTAGTCAATTAATAAGCTGAGTTACTCTATCCAGATTTTTTCTAGAGGCTGATGTAAGTGGGCAAAAGATAAGTGCTCTCCATCGACTATTTATCTCATCAGCTTAATGGCCTTTGGTGAGAGACATAATGTCCATATTGGGAACTCACTGAGCCCTGTGGAAAGCTTCCGTACATAATACATAGTACAGTACGTAACACAAATTATTTACATTTGGCAGAGGTTTTTTCCTTATACACACATTCACTTAGATTTATGAGGTGTATTGATGCAGCTAAACAATCAGTAAAGTCAACTTTTACCGCTTGGGGTTACATGAGTAGAGACGTCTAAACCCATATTGATTTACCATAGCCTGTCGGTGTATTACTTACTGTATCAATGATTAGAAGTCTTCCACTGGGAGAAAGAAAGACTCTTTATGTGTTTTGTTTGTGATCCACAGCCAGCTGGACAAAAACCACATCAGCTGCATAGAGGACGGAGCTTTCAGAGCTCTAAGAGGCCTTGAAGTACTGTAAGTATTTCACCTTATTTTATTCATCCATTCTAATGCAGTTACATTCCATTAAAGTACTTAGTTAAATTAGGCCTTTCTTGTGTCCCGCTAATAACCATGCCTTATGCATATGGCACAGGCCTGGCATATTATACCAAAGTATCCCCCTTTGAGCCTGTATCATCAAGACCAAGCTCCATGAAGTCACAGTTGACACCTTGGTTCCACTCCATCACTTTAACACCCCCCTCACTCCACCTCCATCTGCATACCGTCCAGCCTGGGGCATGCCATCTGACAGGGAGGCTCCTCTTTGCATCTTGTTCAAAAATCCCACACAGTTTTTGAATATCCACATAATTGCCCTATTTTAAAAGAAAAGCAACTTAATCTTTAACTCCCACCAGAAACAATTAGGAATATTTTGTCCTTTTTTATGACAAAGAAACTGTGACAACTGTCTTGTTTTAGTATTCAAAGACTGTGATTTAGGATGGGGGCCTCAAATACTAATACAGAGCTTCTTTTATGGGATTGATGAATTGATTCAGTGATAATGATCTTAGAGGGCGTAGAATGTTGTTTAGGTGGGTCGATATTTGTAGGTTTTATGGGGGAAGAAGACAAGCTTGTGTTGAAAGGGGGAGTGGTTTGAAAAATGGTGAAGGGTCATTTGGTTGATTGAAATGACCTGAGTCTCCTGCAGCAGCTGATGCCCCCGGTTCGAAGGAGATGTGTGCATATTTTATGCTGCTAGCTCCAGTAGCTGTGCTTGCAATCAAGCTTGTGTGCTCGCATATGGGCTCACGTGTTTGTGTGCTCGACTGTATGTGTGCGTGGGAGGTGCAAGGGCTACCCATCTGTGTGGTATGAGGTGATATTTTCCCAGTAGGTCACAAAGAGAGACAAAAAAAGATTAATTTAAAGATATGGCTTGGAGAAATATGGGCTGACAATTTGACTGTTGTGCTCTTTTCTTTTGACAGAACTCTGAACAACAACAACATCAGCGCCATCCCAGTCTCCAGCTTCAACCACATGCCCAAACTCCGAACTTTGTGAGTCACAAATATCCCACCTCAATGTTCTCGACCTCGATGGAGGCATTATTTAAAATCAAACCATATTCCACACACATGCAGACGAAGCAGAGAAAATGCGGAATGGGAGTTGACAGATTTTGTCGTTCCTGGCAATGCTGGGTGACCACAGAACAGCAAAGAAGTCTCTTCAGAAATGCCAGGAGTCGTGCAAAGTCAACAAGTAGCCCAGATAGACACAAACAGCCCCGCATTTAGCCGTGATTGCTAAATATGAAATTATGTGCAAATTAAAACACTTAAGCCTGCTGCTCTGAGCCTTGACTTTACTGCTCTTGTGGTACCATTTTGGGCTTTTTCACTCCCAGTGGGGTTATATTATAATGCTTTTTCTGAATGTGAGTACACCATGTGTGTGAGCACAAGGGTTTGCAAGTTAGCCTTCATGTGCCAAAGGTCCACCACACAATGGCAAAAGTTATTCTGGACCTACACAGCATCACAGGAATGCTGTGTTTGGACTTCTCAGTTTAGAAATATCTTCTTTTTTTAAAATGTACCATTTATAATTGTCCGTGTAGCATATCATTTAGTTTGATTTGCCGCAGGGATCGGACATGATGACTTGCAGAAAAGAGCAGACACTTTTTTATCCTATCTTGATCCTCTGCTGGTGATAGCTAACAAATGTAATGTCTACAAATGTAAAGTGGAAAGTAATTTAGTGAATTGATATTTGACTTGATTTTCATTTCGAACAGCCGTCTCCACTCCAACAATCTAAACTGCGACTGTCATCTGGCTTGGCTGGCCCAGTGGCTCAGACAGAGGCCCACAATTGGTCTTTTCACCCAGTGTACTGGCCCTCCTGAGCTCAGAGGACTCAATGTGGCAGAGGTCCAGAAACACGAATTCAGCTGCTCAGGTAAGACACACTGAGCTTTGCACTGTTTTGTTATCCGATCAGATCATGACCAAATCTCCATGCCTTGTACTGTAGAACTTATTCCTCATTCCTCTGCCGGACACCAGAGATTTTTTTTTTTTGGGGTCAGTGTGTATTCACCTTGCAGCCACCTGATAACTGCCCCCAAGTGTGTCCCACTGAGCTGGCAGCAATAGAAGGAAATGGCCCACAGAGCAGAGACCCAGGCCTCCGCCTCTGACTGCAGAACCCCTCTCCCCTTTTTTCATCATTCATGTTCTTCCATACAGATTATTGTGAAAAATCTGTCATGATTTTCGTGGTTCCAAATTCTCCATTTCTTGCATTGTGTACTTATGAGAGAAAGAGAGAGCATGTGCACCTGGGAGTGTCATGGCGTGCACTTGGTTTATCATATCTGGACAATGGAAAAACAGCATGAGAACCTCCACTCCCCACAAGGCTATCTAGCTTGCAACACCAGCTGCGAGTGGTGTTTGTGTCTACATTGTGTATGTTTGTGTGTGTGTGTGTCTTTCTCCACGGATTGTGATTTTTACGCAGCCATACGGCGTGACAGCACAGATCATTAACTATTCATCGCCCAGGGAAAGAGACTCAAAGCGTGGGAGTGTAACGATTCCAGATATGAAACTTGGAGCGAAGCAATTTTGGTTTATAGTGGGATACAGACACAGAAAGTTAAGCTTTTGCATGATAAGCAGCTGCAGTTCAGTTTTGAGGCTGATAAAGAATGACACATTCTGATCCTCTTTGAGTATCTCTTTGAGTGAATCAAACTCTCAAGGTAAAAGCTACGACAATGTTTCTGCAGGTCGTACGTGTCATGTTTTCAAGCTGATACATACGCACCCACAAACACACACTTCAGCTTACCTCTTGAGAGTATGAATGACCAATATTTGAACTCCCAGTGAAGGGATTCATTAGAGACAGACTCACTGGCACAGAAACACTATACACACAAGTTTGTTTTTCTATTTTTGATAATCGGCGCAGTAGATTGTGGTTGTGAGTGTATTAAGTTTGAGCTGTGACCAGGCGAGGCCACCTGCGGGGGATTTGGGGCAGGGTGGCGCCTCGTTGGAAGAGCAAGGCGAGTGGGAAGAGAGGTATGTTGGTGTTGTGCGAAGCGGAAGAATGAAAACGGAGTGTGCTGTGTTATTCATCGATTCAAAATATGATGAAATTCTGCTTCACTCTCTGCAATATGACTCAGTCATCGTCTTTCCCAGTTTTTGGTTGGAAAAGATCACTGTATTGTACACTTTGTTTTTTATGAACGAGAGGAGTGACACATTTACTGGTTTGCGTTGAAGAAAAATATTTTCTCCTGTTGTTTCTAAGTTGAACACCAAAAAAAGTCAGAATTACTTTTTAAAAAATGCTTTAAATGAATGCATGGAATGGAAAAGATTTTCAAAGTCCATCTGCTGTGCAAACATTTGAATTGCTTGGAGTGTGTCTCAGGCATGACCAGCCGCTCATTAACTATATGGGTCCGCAATTTAATTCTCAGCTATTCTGATCATAAAACTATCTTGTTTCATAATTTAGAATCTGGGTGATAATGTTTTTCACTTTGCTTATTATGTGTGTGCAGTTTACAAGAAAAAATGGGCCTTATCTAAAGCATTTCATCCTAATTACTTATAATCCTGTGGCTCTAGTTCAGATTAGAGTTATTTCAGATAGTTTTAATGGCATAATGCTGCTGAGATCTTATCGAGAAAAACATTTACACACACAACCCCTTTACTCCACTTGGTACTAAACAGGAAACAGCCAAAAATAAGAAGCTGCCTTTACCAATTTAAATGAATTCAAATGAAAATGAATTACGCTTGTGATGAATTGCTGCTCACAAGGAATAAATTCAACAAAAATATTGAAACAAGCTATTCATTTTTAGTAAAATACTACTCTTTTAAAATACTACTACTCTTTTGCTGGGAAACAGGGGAACATAGCTCTAAAAAAGGTGAAGGGAGGCGGGGATTGGTGCAAGCCAGTGATAATATTCTAAAATCATGAGAGACATGAGATGGAGTGAGGTTAAATGTAGGGGATGTGAGCAAATGGACAAAAGGTAATGGGTTGCATTGACAGAGAGGCTTAAAATGAGGGCGTTTAACGGAGTGAGAAAACCATGTGGAGGAGGGGAAACTGGAGGAAAAGTGAGAGCAGGGAAAACGGGACGGGAACAGAGTGGTAGAAATAACTGATGGGAAAGAGATAACAGGGAAAACAGAGTAAGGAAAAACAAGGGAGGAGCAAACAACCAAAAGCCTCACCTCCGGCATACCTGTCAGGGAGCTGTCATTGTTGAGGCTGCTCCAGCTGCGCTCTGCACTCTCCCTGATCCCAGGCCTGTCAGATATGCCATGTTAGATCAGAGGGTAGTTTTTCTCTGCCACATACCTGATCCTAGATCTGTCAAACCTCTGCCATTCTAGATCGCACCGCCTCACATCACGAGGGTGAGAGACTGTGCCAGTTTGAACTCATGTTTATAAGATGCTATTTGCTCTGTGGCTCCCAGCTGTGTCGGAGCATTCAGATAATGGATTGAGATTCACCAGATATCCAGCCATCCACCATTCCTTATGCAAGCGAAATATTTCTTTGAATGTCTCTTTTTGGTTCGGGAGTGGAGTTTTGAGCGCTGTGTGCACGTTCTCCGTCACTGACTTTCACCATCAGTCACTGTGTTTCTCCCTCCCCGAATCTCTGCTCCCCCTCTTTCACTCACGTCGACACTTTCCACACAAGCTGAGCGATAGATGGGAAGGTAATTAAATATTCATGGTCTGAAACTTGGTTTAGTAATGCTGTGTAAATGAGGCCATTTAAAAGTCTGTTTTATTCATTTTATCTGGGTTAGACTTCCACACACGCACACACACACACACACACATACACACATCTTTTTTTACAAGCCACAAAATGCTGTACTGGCAGTGCAAAGAGCCGCTCCTCGCTGAACCACTGACACTGCCGGAGCTATTTGAACAGGTATCGAGAGACAGCATGATGAGTCGTATGCTCAGTATGCAAATGAAAAAGTTGAAGTGTTTTAGAACAAATGGATGTGAAAGGGGTGGGGGTTGTAAAGCTGAACATGCAGAACTGCATCAATTCCACCCGGAGAACGCAGACTCAGGAGAAACATTTGTGGAGAGATCAATGGATTTTATTGGGGGGCCTTCATATGCCACTCCAGCTTTATTTTTCAACCCTTTCTTCTTCTTTCCATGTACTGTGGCACTCCTTTGATAGATAACCTAGTTTCTCTTCCATTGATTCTCAAGGAAATTACAGCTTTAAACTGAAGTCTAGAGCAGGATGTTTAATTTATTTTTCACAGTGTGAAAACATCCCTAGAAATCTTTGCAAGTCAACCCATAAAGCACAAAAGGGTTGAAGACATGAACAGCAATTAAAAGAATTTGTTCTCAGGTTGTGAACAATACCAGCTTTGTGCCAATTCATAAATTCGTTGACATATTTTCCTGAAATACTGCTAAAACCAGACTCATTTACTTGTGCTCACCTGTAAGACCCATGCTCAAGTGTGTGTGTGTGTCTATGGTGGAAGAACATGAGGCTACATAAATAATTCTTCAATATAAAATGAGAAAACATTTCTTTGAAAAAGCTAACCTGCCTTTTATTCCCAGTGTTGACCTGAATTAATTGATAGCTGTGAGTAGAACTGTGTTAAAAGCTCAAAGAAGGAAGCAGTACAAGAAATGTTTAGATGAATATATCTAACAATTTCATAGAATTCAAGTCATTCATCAAAGTTTTTTTTAATCCCTCCTTCAAAATTTGCTTCACATTTGGGGTGATCATTGCTCATTTGACTTTTCTTGCTTTTTCCTGCAGGGCACCAGGAGTCTTCCAGTCTTCAGCCGTGCAGCACGGGCGGCGGCTCCTGTCCTGCCATGTGCACCTGCAGTAACAACATAGTGGACTGTAGAGGGAAAGGTCTGACCGCCATTCCAGCCAACCTGCCCGACAGCATGGCCGAAATGTGAGAATATGTCCCGCTTTCACTGTCAAACCAAATCTAAAACCGTTTAGAGATAAATTCAACCTGAAAAGTTTTCTCATGGTCCACTTAGTTGATTTAATTGAAAGTTGTTGTTTTTTTCCCCCTGCATCTTTATGATTTTTTTAAAATACACCAATGATTAGACTTATTAAACTTATCCTGCCCTGGATTGTTTTTTTCACCATGTTTCACAGTGCATCGATCAACATCATGTAGAATTTGAGAAAAACCACACACTTAGAGCAGATTTTAGACTCAGTCTCATGTAGAATTTGAGAAAAACCACACACTTAGAGGAGATTTTAGACTGAGGCCAAATGCTCTTATCAGCTCGGTTGGCTGGAACCACAGGCGAGTGCTGTGTTAACATCCCTCTCTCAGTTTATCAGTCCTTCAACATCTGTCTGAGCATTAACTGTTTACAGCCCCCATGCTCTGTTATAATTCCCTGGAATGCATGGCTAGGCTTTTCGAAATGATGCTTTTTCTCGCTCTTTCCTTGGTTTGATGCTGCTGGCCGACGTCCGCCTGAATCGGTACAGCAACACAGACTAATGCATGGTGTGAAAAAGGCTAAGACAGTCAGAGCCAGCGGCCGTGTTGCATGTTCCTCCTATGAGCATGTGTGCAGTTAGGGGGGACACAGCAACTTTCTAGGTCTTCTTCTCCCTACGGGGGTCTGTTTATAAATACCCACCCAGGGTGGAAGTCACCCATTCCAAGTTCTCCAACAACCCTGACCCATTTCTGCTGCAGTGCTGTACTCAATTTCCTCACTTGGGCTGGATATAGAATGACCAGCCATAAAATACTTAGACCTTTAAAACAATATGAAAGTAGCCAAACATCTTGCATTTTGACTTCCTTCATGTATCCTTTACCTTTGGTGATGGCCCACAAACCATAAAAAATGACAAACTGGGATGCAGCTTTTCTCTGTTTTATGGTTTGTAGTCCTCTTCAGTTGCAGTGCTCTACAAGTGGGATATCATATAGACTAAAGTGATCTATGAGGCCGATAACTAGCAAGCAGTATTAAAGGGGGAACAGGGAGAAGACTGAAAGATGGTTATTTTATGCATCCTTTTTATAGACTGTGTTTTTTTTCTCTGCACAGCAGATGAGTTCAGACATTTTAAACTTTCTCTGCCCTTCACATCTAATTGGTGCTTAACCGTGTCCTGCTTATCAACTCCCCTGTGTTCTGATTAATCTTTTACAAGACCGGGGGGAAGCGCTCATATCGTGGGAATTCCTCCTGTCCCACCCGTCAGAGCCTTTACCTTACAGGTTAAATTCCCATGACGGCCATTCCTTCATCCTCCCTTCTATATTTCTTTCCTCCTTTTTACCAGCTTGCCAAATGACTGCAAGGCAACTGTTGGGAGGCACAGCAGCAGCGAAAGAATGAACTTAAAAGCAGAAGGATGGGGGGTCTGCTTGGTTACTTGGTGCAGCAGGTTTCATCTGTGCTTGAAGTTCATTATAAAATCAGTTTCAATTACAGCGTGGCATGCTGCTGCATATGGGCCAGCCTAATACCTTCTTAATGAGGCTCTCGGAAGATCACATATACGCAGACACACGGGCATGCTGCTCTAATTATGTACAAATCTGAGAATTACAACCTCTCTGCCTGCCTCTACCTCCGCTCTAGTAACTGGCAGTTTTGCGTTTATGGCAGTTTGAGGTAGTTTCTGTACTCCTCCCTTGAGAAAGCAGGTCCAGTTAGCCCGAACACCACCGCAACAGATATTTGTGCGCCACAGTTTTTTGTATGCCATAGCTGATCCCTGCCATAAAAACTCTCCCACTGCCTTTAATCTGGGCTGCCACAATCCTGCCATCATTTCCCTGTATGCCGTGGCTGAATACCCAAAGGCCTCATGGGCTTCCCCTTAATGAAAACCATGCTCACACTGTAATGAAAAGGATGAAGACCACTGATTGGATTGACACAAATACCAGCTCTAACACACACACACATGTTCAGGTTGACAAATTGGACGGGAGCCATTGATTGTAGGTTGACAGGCAACCGTCTGTGATTGTTTCTTTTTCCCGCCACCAATTGGACAACGGAGCTCCTTTGTTGATTGCATGGATTGAGTTGCTGGCAATTATCGATCAGCAGGGAGCAACAACACAAAGACTGAAACACTGTCAGCTAGTAGTGTGTCTTTGTGTGTGTATGTTCCGTGCCCTTGTCGGCTCCCAGGATTTTGCTGTGCTCCCTGCCGAAGCACCCAGATGCACCACAACACGTAGGCATATACGTACATAATCAGCCCTGACGCTGAAACATGCAAATGGCATGCAGAGTGCCAGACTGGTTTGGACCAGCTAGACAGACTGGTTGATGAGAGAAGGCGCTAAAGCCACTTGGCCCAGCACTCTGCCGCATTGTGAGGGCAGAGGAACCACACGGCTGTCACTTCAGTGTAAATGCACACACAACACACTGGGACAGGCAGACAAAAACAGACTGAGAGAGCATGTCCACCACAGGAATCTGTGGTCTAGAATCACTGCAATCCAAAGAATGTGAATTGCACTGCCATATCACTCTGTAAGTGCAGGCCAGCCTTTTGAAGGGGGAAGCTTCTTGATTGGAAAATGTGGAAGCTCGTAACTGTTAAACGTTTGTGGTTAGCGTCTAACAAAACATTTACCCCCCATGGAACGACACAAACAAAGCAATGCAAAAGGGCTGAGAGGCCCAGAGTTAATCTAAAATTCCTCCAACTGACTAATTAAATCTTGTGGAAATACTCCTGTGCCAAGAAATTACATAAATCTTTTCAGGAGTATTATAGATTTGACATCTTTTCTCATTTTCCTGTGGTGGTAAATGGCATCTTGGTGACAGTAAGATGCTGGAGTCGCTACTGGCCCACCACAGCTGGCTCAGGCCCTTGCTTCCTGGTCTGCAGCCAGCTCCTCTGCAGGGGGGCTGAATGGAGGGACAACCAGACAGGCTTGCAGCTGGCTTCCTCAGGGCCCTGCTAAGCCTCGGTAAGGACAGTTTTAAAAGCTGTGAACTGACCTGCAGATAAACAGCCCTCTGCCAGCTACAGCAGGGAGTTGTTCTGGGACTGAGCTGAGCCCTAAGCGGCAGCCAGAAACTCACATACATGCCCACGCTAATGGGGTTTAGGGATGCCTGTTTCCATGGGACCATCTGAGACTGATTATAGTCTCTGAGTGTTCTGCTCTAAATGACCACGTGTATGTTTGTCTGTGTAATAATTTCATGATTTGTGAATCATGTTGAGACTTTGTGGAGCTCTTCTCTTGTCAACCCTGCTTCGGCAGCTTTTAGGCTCACAGGAAAACGTAAACTCAACAAAGTAATATTTTACCCCGCTGCAAGGGTTTCAGTGGACACTTTGCAGACACCCAGAGGATAACAGCAACTTTCACGAGTACAAGTGAGATCATTATTGATTTCATGATCTCATATGAGAGCATAAGCACTGAACCCCGTAAATGCTAAACCAAGAAGAAATATGAGTTTTAGCTGAAAGCCCAAACACCCTTATACAAAGAGAGATGGAGACTTTTCCCCGTCAGTCCCCTTTCCACAGCACTTTAGCATTCGGACTGTTTATTGGTTCTGAGGATGTTATGACTCCAGCATGCTTCAACCTATCAAAACTGCGAAATAGATCTCCACTAATATAATCAGGCCAATCACCAAGGGTCAGAGGGGATTACTCAGCTTTGTTGCCATGGAGAACCCAATTGTTTGGTTAACTAATGGTGTCACATCTCTTCTCTTCTCCTCTCCAGACGTCTGGAGCAAAACGGGATTAAATCTGTTCCTCCTGGAGCCTTCTCTCCATATAAGAAACTGCGTAGGATGTAAGTACAGCAGTACACTCACCCCAGGGCTAAATAATACAGATGTGAACAAGAAGCTGAAGACTGGAAAAAGAAGCAAGGATTGGCAGTTTTCTCATTCCTCTTCCGAGGGGCATGCAGTATTTATTTTGTCTGGGCCTTAAGAACATATTCTTGTTCTCAGGCTTGGGGTGGCGTGGAAAGCAGGCACTAAGATCCTACATGTGCATAATAACAGCTCTCTTTTTTCATTGTGGCACACTGGTATTCCCCTGGCTAGCCTTGTGTCCAGTCTGCGTATTGCCTCCTCAGATTATGATGATGATGATGATGGGTAAGAGGTAGAGCTGGAATGAGGGCCGAGGCTTTTCTCTCTCTGGGAGAGAACAGCGACAGGCTGGTGGTTGCAACCAAGCGGGTTTTTGCCCATTGAGCCAGCTGTCTGGTCACTTTGCCAGCACACACCAGTCTACCAAACCTCCAACACTACCGAGCCTCATTTCCAAAGCAGCAGGGGGGCGGAGGATGTCGAAGGTCAGGGAGTTTATACACCCTTTTTTAAGGAATTCTTACCAATTTATCATTAACTCAGACGCCAATCAGAGGTTTAAATGAGTTTAATTAATAGATGAAGACAGTCTGAGTTTTTAATATCATTGTATATGTGAGGCGTTATGGGGGAAAATACTTGATATACGGTTACAGAAAAGCCATGTGACACATTTTTTCAGTAGGAAAGTATACCCCTTAATTGCATGCTTACCTAAGACAAGCTTGGTTTTGGGTGTATTTATTCACTATTCCCTATTCACTGCATCTTATCCCAAAAGATTCCAGTAGAGGGCAGACCAGCAGACTCATTACTTCATATATGGACATAATGTTTTCATCAATGACCATGGAGACCGGAAAAGAAAAGATCAACGTCAAAAGTGTTCTAAAGTGTTTGAGGCCTCTGAAGTGATTATGCTGGATATTTGATCATGTTTGCTTCCACACTGCATCATACACTCAACTCCATATTGCATCTTTCATATCATCATTTTTTGAGGACGCGCAGAAACATGCTCCTATTTTTTTTATTTTAGTGATAAAAGATTTAAGTGAAAATTTGAGTATATTTGATTTGAGTAAGTATATAATTGACATAGAGTATACAAATATAAAGGTACATATGTAGACAAAATACAGATTATATACATTAATTTATTTGCAATTAGGCAGTTTTAGTCCCCTGTAAAAAGTAGTCCTCCATCTGTTTTTTTAATCCTTTTTAAATAAACATGACCTGCTGCTGTTCAAGCTGCTGATTCTGCATTTCACAACCACAATTTATGTCTGTGTTGACCCTGGGTGTCTCTATTGATTCAGCTGGCTTTGCATCCATGCTGCCTGAGCCTGTCATGTGTCCAACACCCTCAGTACACAAAGTGTGGACAGCATTTGGACATCACGATACCCGTACTTCCTATCCCCGGTCAGGTTCAGCAGATGTTCATGCGAACGTTTATGATTAATGGTGGATTTTGGAGCATTTTACGAGAATATTGCTTTTGAAAATGGCTCAGAATTTATCCACATGGCAAAAGGAGTTTATTAAAAGGATCTCCAGGCCGACATGCAGGTGTTGCTGCTTGGCATTTCATCCTTCCTGTGCGTGTCTTCTCTCACCTGGTACCAGTTTGGATGGCCTCCATGTGAACCACCCCTTCAGACAGGGATGCTGTAGCTGCCATCACATGCTGACATAAACACAAACACACCAGTGTTTGAGTGCGTATACACCCACTGGTGCATATTTTGGCTCCATCTCTTTATTTTCATTTCTAGGAAACCTAAGTCCTTGCAAGAGGACAAACAGCTACTTATTTAAATGTTACCCCCATATGAGAAAATATCACTTTTCTTCACCACATGATGATTTTCCTTCAAAGGTAACCAGTCGACTGGAGTTCACTCCACATACTCCATTAGGTTTCTTTCTCCATCTGTCTCTGTCTCTTTCTGTCCCACTGTTCCTCATTTACTTTTGCATTGGCTCACACAGACACACACACACACACATCAGCTCAGAGGCGCACAGGCTTAGTGGTTATCCTGTGGGGAGAGGCCTGCGGATCCTATTAACAACAGCTATGTTCCAGGGCAGTCTACTGTATTTTGCTTTGGATTTCAGCCCAACTTCACATTCTGACTCACTAACACATATGCACACACACACACACGCAGGCAGGCACCCACACTGTGATAGAAGATCAGTCAATAGGTTGCAAAAGTTACAAAAGTAAATGTTTTGATTGGCTCCAAGACCCCCTTAAAGAGACACACCATCAAGTGTGGAAGACAGCTGGGACTGATCCCTTTCCAGCTCACAATAAATAAGTTTTCTACTTGGTCCCTATTTCCCATCAGGGTGAAAGTTTGGCCAAAGCTTCCTGCCAACATTGGACACTGACTTAACCAAATCCCTCATGTCCATCTCTAACATTCTGGCCCTCTCCCACGCAGAGACCTGAGCAATAACCAGATCTCAGAGATAGCTCCTGATGCCTTCCAGGGCCTGCGCTCCCTCAACTCCCTGTAAGTGTCTCAGAGCTGAGCTTTTACAAAAGGAACCTGCTTTTATTTGGTATTTTGCTTTGTCTAAAACCTGTGTTCTAATTGATCAGTGTGCTGTATGGAAATAAGATCACCGACCTGCCCAAGGGGGTGTTCGATGGCCTCTACGCCTTGCAACTGCTGTAAGTGGAGCACTGACATGGCCGACATGCAGAATACCCGGAGTAACCTTCAAATAAACTTTTTGCATTCTTTTCTCGATGTATAATGAATGAATTCTTAAAGAAACATTGACAAGCTGCCTAACTACCTCTTTCTCCTCTTCCCTCTGCTTTTTTTCTTTTTCCATCCCCGTTCTGTTAGGTTGCTGAATGCCAATAAGATTCATTGCGTTCGTGCCAACACCTTCCAGGACCTGCAGAATCTCTCCTTGCTATCGCTCTACGACAACAAGATCCAAACGCTCGCAAAGGGCACCTTCACTTCACTGCGAGCCATACAGACCCTGTGAGTGGAACGCAGTCACAAATAGACGCGCAGGCTGCTGTACATGCTCTGACACATGCAGAGCTGCTACCATAAAACATGAATTAACAAAGGAGATGTTTACTCACAGGTCTGTTTCATAACACAGGAATGCACTCAAAAAGCAGAAAGGGGAGGATGTCTACTGTCCTCACAAAGCACGAGGACACAAACATGCTCTTCTTCCACAAAAACAAAAGAAAACTCGCATATCTCTGTACTCAGAAGGAACCAGTTCAGACTGATTTTAATTCTCAACTTCAAATTACACAAGAAAAGAGAAAAACAAACAAATTGTTATTAATTCAGAGCCCCAGAGAGAAACTCCTCCCACGTAGGAAGGATGCAGCATTTTTACTTTCATACAATGAAGGACCCCTGTTGAAAGGATGGATTTTTACCACACACTACAAATGTCTTTTCCCTTCGTTATTTTGCAAACACACATCATTTGGACTGTCGAGCTCCCGCATTTAACTTTAAATCAAACATTGAGATTCACTGAAAGTATCAATCATAACCAACAAGAAAATATATATTTCACTAGGTGTTAAAGTACAGTGTATTTGAAAAAACAACAACTATTTTTATTACACTAGATGTTTGTACAAACATATTCAAGAAGAGCAGATTTGAACATTTCAAATGTGTCAAATCTTTTTCAGGGTTTGTTCATGGACAGTTGTTGACAATCGATTAAACAAATGAAAATCCCCAAATCGATTCCAAGTGAGATGTTGAGGCTACAATGTGCAGTGAAATTGACTTTTTTCATTTAAGACAAGAGGGGCACTCCAATGAGCTATACGATGCAAAGACAAAAAATCAAGGAACCGAAAAAGCCCTTCACAAGAAGCAGTCAAGTGCAAAACTCTCAAGAAGGAAGGCTTTTCATTATCCAAGCCAACCACAAAGAGAAAAAATACCATGAGAGCAAACAGAGAAGGTTCACCACAAGGTGCAAACCACTCATAAAGCCGAAAATCAGACTCAACCAGACTAGCTCTGGATCACAAGTCCAAAACTTGTGTAAATTCAACCAGTACCACAATGATGGGAAGAAAAGAATGAAGAAGGCCTGGCACCGCTCGTGATACGAAACATAGAACACCATCTGCAAAACACTTGCAGGCAAAGAGGTGGAAAGGGAAGGAATGGGAAATTCTGCAGTCACCTGATCCCAGCCTGATCAAGCTGCATTTCATCCAAAAAGCAAACAGCCGTGGTAGGCAGCTGCACTTACAGCCTGAAACAGTATGACAAAGAAGGCCCAAACATGTCAAAAAGCTCCTTTGGATGTCAGTTCCCTGTGTTGGGATTCACTCATACATGAACATCACATGGTATCTAGAAAAGTGCGTCACCATCAGGAGATTGACTTTAGGTTACTTTATTCCCTTAAGTCAGCAAACAGTTATACCCATTTGCTGCTTATGTATATGCTCATTTGATGTATATGCCAAGTTATGTTTTTATGTTTCTTAAATGACATATCTCATATCTTGGGCACTACTGTGTAAATATAAAACTTTAATTCTAATCTAATTTCCGTTCATGTGTTTCCATTCCTCTCCACATCCCTTCTCTCCAGTCATCTGGCTCAGAACCCGTTTATTTGTGACTGTAATCTGAAGTGGCTGGCAGACTACCTGCGCTCCAACCCAATTGAGACCAGCGGCGCCCGTTGCGCCAGCCCACGCCGTCTCGCAAACAAACGTATTGGCCAAATCAAGAGCAAGAAGTTCCGCTGCTCCGGTAGGCTGGTGTCTCTGCTGTTGATCTACTCTCCTTTCACCTCTCCATTCTTAACCTCCCTCACGCTCCGCTTGGGAGTGGCGTTTCTTCCTACATTGTTCCCTCTACCATATACCACACTTAATGCGTGATTTGACTTGTAAAAGGTTTTATGATGGCTTTCATGTGGGGTGGCGGTACTTGTTAATTCCTCCAGACTAACCTGGCACTAAGAGGAAAGGTAGAATTAGCTCTTTCTTCCTCTGTCTACACACCAAATGAATCTAGTTTCCCACTCAAAGTGCAGTTCGCTGACATCACAGGCCGGGGCTGATGTAAGAGATAGAGTTTCTGTACATGCTCACCATTCCAAACCCCCGTCCCACCTCGCCTCAGGCCCCTCCACCCCTTCTTAGTCACCACTCTCTTTGCCAGGCTCAGATTTCTTTCATGTCCCCTCATTCTCGCCCACTATCCTCCCTGCATCTCATGCCCACTATTGTGTGCACAGTGTTGTGCTGCCTGGCACTCTGCATGGCTGAGGTTTAACACTTCTTTAAGGCCCTGTTTGTTTGGCCAGACCCAGTAAAGAAGGGATTCCATGTTTTTTATGTTTTTAATTTTTCCCTCTTGCCTGGTTCTTTCTGTCTCACTCTCCTTTCCACCATACTGCTCTTCCTTAGCAACAGACAAATATTTACTGCCTTTTTATCTTGTCACTAGTTTCCCCATGTTGTCATGAACAGGGATAGCCCTCAGCTTCTCTGTTCATATAGCCATGTGCTGTCATATATAAACTCTATATATGACTGTTTTGATGCATAGCCATGCCACAGCTATGCACTCCAGACTGGCCTCACTGACATCCGTCCCTCTTTCTTTCCTCCATCACAGCCAAAGAGCAGTACGTCATCCCAGGTGAGTGGCTTGTAAATGTTTACACCTATCATTGCCATTCTTTAATTTCACACCTGCATCCATGTAGTGACATCATCTTTTCCGTTACTGACTGCTCAGTTTCTTACTATTGTTCTGCGGGTTCAAATATTTCTTCATTTGTATTTTAGCTTGTGTCTTACTTCTGTTGTTTACAATATTTTACAACTATTGTTCCTAGGCATCAGGGCATAATTTAAAATTCTCATGAAAACAGAATAGAATGATTGACACGATCCACTGTTTTCACAATGAAACACAGAAAACATATCAAATGTTCAAAATGAGCAATTTGAAGGGTGAAGCTATGATGGAAAGAAGATTGCATACTCAGACAGAAAACAGAATTACTGCTGTCTTCCCTGGGTCAGCTTACTGAAAATGAGTTGAGGCAAAGTTAAACAATATTCTCTGTTCAGATTAATTTAAGTGATTTGGAAATCATGCACACCATTCACTTTAGATGCTCAGTTCAAAGTCCTGCATCTCTGATGATATGGGGTGCATAATGCCTGTGGAACTGGAATCTTGCACATCTGGAATGGCACTAAACGGTGTACAGGTGGGCTCTCACTCAGATTTTTTATTCAGGAAAGGCTTTTCATATTTCAGGGAGGCGATGCTTAAATGGACACTATTTATTACAACCCCATGGCGCCATCAGAGAAGAGTCCAAGTGCTGAACTTTCTTGAGTGCATTTCACACCTTTTATGAACTAAAAACAGGCGATAGACGACTGCTGGTAGCAAAGTGTTTGACTACACTGTAACAAATTGTTACTAACGTCCCTTGTCTACTCCTTCAGAAATGTCCATAGCATTTCTTTAAACAGTCCAACAGAAAAAATTGTATAAAGTTTGCATTTGAACAAGATTAGCACAGTCTTCCATCCCGATGGTAGAGCTTAAGAACTTGAAATAAACACTGAACATTTAATGGTAACATTAGTTGAAATGATGCTTTTTATGGCAGTTGAGGTATTTGTACACATGAATATAGCTAATTGGGCCCAAGAGTGAACACTGGATATATGTGTAAATTTCAGTAAGGACATATATATATACATATCTGGGAGAGCATCTGTTTAGTCTCATCTCTGTTTCCCTAACGGCCTCAGCAGATAGAAAAAGGAAGTGTTTCTTTGCTTTGGCAATAGCACAGACAGTCACCAAGAGGAACACAAAAAGAGAGAGGGAGAGGAGGACAGAGGGGAAGGAAAGCGTGTCCTCTATCAGTGAAGCTAAAGAAAATAAAGCCCACCGGAGGACCCAGATTCCTATCAGCGGATGTTTCCGGACCCCTTAACAGAGAGCACTTCCAAGAAAATAACTAGGAGGAGCAGCTATGTGTGTCGAAGTCTGTCTGTGTCTGTGGCACTGTACCGGCTGTTGTGATTCACTGTCAATGTCAGTACGACTCGTGTGTGTGACTTAATGTGTCTTTGTGTGCAAAGTTGAGATAAGGCTCGGCAACGGCTTACAGAACAAATGGGAGTACTATGTAAGCAGACGGGATATCAAAGCCAAATGGAATTAATAAGGATTCTATCCTCCCTGAAATATAAAACAATGAAAGCCACCACGATTTGCACAATCACTGACAGCACAGGAACTCCATCATACATTAATAATGAGAAACCAAGCTGCAGGGATTTTAGACAACTCCAGCAATGAGTCATTTTGTGTCGAGGAGAGGGAAAAACCTCATCCTCCGGCTCGCTGCTCTCTCCAGTTTTGTGTAAATCGACTGACAATAAAAGTGTCACCACCCCACACTTGTGACGATGACTATGACTCAGGCTCACGAAATCTCCCCTGGCTCCTCCACATCCTCAAGATCAAAGCACTTTTTCTTGTTCTTTCATTGCTTCCTCTGTCGCAGGAAATGCCTCTTCCTGTTGTCTGGCCTATAAGGAAAGTTCCTTAATGACCAGCATTACGGTGTCTGTCTGCACCCTCCACCGGGCGGCGGAGAGGTCACACCACCTCACAAAATGTCTGCACATGCAGCAAGTTGAGGCTGATCCTGAGAATGCAGTCATTTGATAAAGTCAGAAGTGAAGGGTTTGGGTTAGGTTGGGGTTTTTTAAAAGATGTTTTACTTACTTGGACCGACTTTTGATACTCAACTATATGATTGTTTGTCTGACAATGAATTATTTTATTATTTTTGCTGTCCCACACTCATCTCCAGCCCATTGTCACATTGATGTAATAAAGGAAAGGCACAGGGAATGATCTTCCAACAGAAAATACCAGACTGTTCCCTCTGAATGGAACATTTGCACACTTCACACATAAACACTGAGACACAATGCAGAGATGCAGGGATGCAGACACAGTGTTCCAAGTAGCTTCCCAGCCCTGTTTCATTATTGAGCAGCCATGATGTAACTGGCAGCACACTTTTTGGCACGTAACATCTATTCATAGACAGAGGAGGTGCAGGAAAATGTCCCACACTCCCCCGTGCTGCCTCCTTCTGCTTCTGCATCAGCTCTCTCTGTAGCACCCCTCACCTTTCATTTCTTTCTCCTTCCTTCTTTCTCTCTTTCCTGTATGCATTTGCCTTCTTCTTCTGTTTCCTCCCTCTGATTCCCTCTTAACTCCACCAGTCTACTCTCACTCTCTGTGCATCATTTAAACTGGCTCTTCATCATCATCTTCTCTCATGGGCACTCTGCCTCACTTTCTTTTCATCCCACTGCCCCTGCTCTGTTACCTCTCTAAAAATAATACACCTTCCTCAATTCATGGATTCATCCTATAGCAGAAGAGCTGAATGATCCTCTTATGGGCCCCCAAGATTAAAGATAATGTAAAGAAGCCGCAAGACGGGCTGATATGTTGACGTTCATAAACATTTAATGTTAAAATACTTTTTTTTTCAATTTCAGGAACAGAAGACACACGACTAAGTAATGCCTGCAACAGTGATCCAGTGTGTCCTCCTAAGTGTCGCTGTGAGTCCAACGTGGTGGACTGCTCCAACCTGAAGCTCAGCAAGATCCCTGAGCACATCCCCTCATCCACTACCGAACTGTAAGGACTCGGAAAAAAACTAAGGAACAGACAGCGCAGAAAACTTTTATTAGTTTGTTTGCACACTCTGACTTGTTCCTCCTATTTCTGTTCAGCCGTCTGAACAACAACGACATCGCAGCTCTGGAGGCAACTGGAATCTTCAAGAACCTCTCCCAGCTGAAGAAAATGTGAGTCAAACTTCCCTTTCTGACATTAACTTTTGGCAAGCGGCCTCTAGAAAGTGCACTTGAGTTTCTTACATCTCCCGCCCTCCGATGTAGCAACCTCAGCAACAACAAGATCACAGAGATTGAGGATGGCGCGTTTGAAGGTGCATCATCCGTCATTGAGCTTCACCTGACAGCCAATCAGATTGACTCTGTCCGGAGCGGGATGTTCCGGGGCCTGGATGGGCTGCGCATGCTGTGAGTACCGCAGAAACATGTAAAGACTCACCTTTGTGCTTGCTGGTGTGTCTAAACTATATCTCATAGTCCATGTATTAATGTTGGTGTTTTATATTTGTTTTTCTCAGGATGCTGAGAAACAACAAAATCAGCTGCGTCCACAACGACAGTTTCACAGGGCTTCACAACGTGCGCTTGCTCTCCCTGTATGACAACCAGCTGACCACAATAGCTCCTGGAGCCTTCGACACGCTGCAGACTCTCTCTACTCTGTGAGACCCTGGCGTATTTTTTTTACTGTTGATCTTTTATATCAAAACTTCATGGCAGCTTCAACTTCTCTATTGCCCCTGTTCTCCCAGGAACCTGCTGGCCAACTCCTTCAACTGTGACTGCCGGCTCGCCTGGCTCGGTGACTGGCTGAGGAGCAGGAAGATTGTGACGGGTAATCCTCGCTGCCAGCGGCCGGCCTTCCTGAAAGAGATCCCCCTGCAGGACGTGGCCCTGCCCGACTTCCGGTGTGAGGAAGGTGGGTGTCATTATTTGAGACGTCTTTCCTTTATTCCCAAACCGTCTCTGAGTTTTGCCTTCTTTTGGATGAATTTCTCGTAAGTGGTTATGTCATATGTGGGAAACTAACTTCTGGGAGTAACTGATAAGAGGTTTGAACTTTTAACACAATACGTTATGAATAAAAGCTGCCAAAAATCTCTGAGATCATCTTAAATAATGGTCACTATTGTGTGAGCCTTTTGTTCGCTGAATAGGCTGCTGTTCAGCAGTTCCTAAGCTGCTGGTCGATGTGGAGCTGAGTGGAGCTATTGAGCTGTTTGTCTTATTGACCAGTCAGCCTATTTGCACCTGAATGACTGTTAGACTTGTCTTTGGGCCTCAGGCTGCCTCCATTCTTTGCTTTCGCTGGTCGATATTACATTAGCGAGGCCCCCCTCTCCTTGTCCTGTTTTACTTTTCACATTTTTCACTTCCTCCTTTTCCACAGTCTCAATGCTTCACCAGCTTGAAGGACTGTGGTATATTGGCACTGTCCTTCTTTTAGTCAAAAGTTTAGACACTCTTCTCCATACATCTTGAATGTGTGGGTATGTTCAAACTTTTGGATGCCACTTAACATCTTTAGATTAGTTTTTTTTAGAATTTTGGGTTGCTGCAATGTTTTTCCCACTGATATATCAATTAACCATGTACGAGTTTCTTCACCCTTTCACGTGTTATTAGAACTTAACTTGTTTGTAAGAGAAATCTTAAAGATACAGCTCCCCCAAGCTTTAAAAAGAAAAAATATCAGTGCCAACAAAGTAAAAATTTATATAAACAACTGAGATAATGTCCTGGTTTTAGAAAGAACTACACAGGAGATATCAAGATAGAGTGTTTAAACTGTGACTTCTCCTGTCACACAGATACATTTGAACGAAAATCATGTCATGAGCAAAGACATGTATGGAGACATTAAACATTTTGAAATAGTAAAGTGATGCATGTAAAGATCAAAATAAACAGCGTCAAAAAGATGCATAAAGTTAGAGTATCTCAGAAGTACATGCCTTCTACTTCTAGAAAGCATTTCACAGACTTATCTGCTCTGATGGTCGCCACAGGAGGGTTCCTGGGCATTAACTAAATGATCGTGCAAAATTATGTTTCGGATCATTTCTGTTTCAGTTGAAGGGTTTTTTAAATGTTTTTTTAATTAAGAGATTTAATTAAAGACAGAGCCGGGCTTGATTTGGCTCTTATTTTCTATACTCTTTTTTTCTCCCCCAAGAAAGACAGCTCCTCAATTGGTTTGCGTCCATATTTTCCTTTTGGACATTCTTCGTATTCTTCTTCAGCATCTGACTCCCCTCTACCTTCTATTTCCCAGGCCAAGAGGAGACAAGCTGTGTCCCCCGACCCCAGTGTCCCAGTGAGTGTACTTGCCTGGAGACCGTGGTGCGCTGCAGCAACAAGCATCTCCACACTCTGCCCAAAGGCATTCCCAGAAATGTGACTGAACTGTGAGTTCCCTGGCATTAATTACTCTAATTCATTCAATCAATTTGACTTCCAAATATTATTCTTGCTCTATCTTCATTTGAAACGGTGGAGGTTTATGTGAAAGACTTACAAGTGACTCCATAAGGGATGGGGAGGCATTGAGAAAAGTGTTGGCAAAAAAAAAACTAAAGAAAAACAGCAAATCTCATCACTTAGAGGAGAGGGAAGGAGTCAATAAACCCTGCAGTTATTCTCACAGACATTCTTCTTCTTCTTCTTCTCTGCTTCATGCTGCCCTCAGGGCACTGATGTCACTCTCACACTCGGAGCCAAGGATCAGAAAGTGTGTGTGTGTGTGTGGATATTTGTGTCAGGGCCAAAAGCCTGTCCACGGGAGCATAGGGGAGCAACAGGACATTTTAATGAGCAGTTTTCAATGGAAAGAGGAGGGAATGGAATAGGTCTGGAACTTTCCAATACTGCTTCATTTGGTTCTGACTGACTCTGAGGCACACACACACACGCACACATGGACACACACGGATGCACACACACATGCTGTGAAAGCCTAAAGGCCTGTCATTGTCCCAGCAGGTGTGACCAGGTGTAGCCCTCTGTTCTGGGCTTTCATCTAGTCATCTGGAGAGTTTTCTACTCCATCATTATCCCAAGTGTCCTCAGCACCATCATTACCTATCATTACTACTGAACCCAAATGCCTCCTAACTAACCACCTCCCCCCACCCCCAGCAGCTGCCCTTCCCACCATGCCTGCATTCAACAACAATAGCAGGAGCCTGCAGCCCTGCTCAGAGGGAGCAGGCCCTAAATCAGCCATTTATCAAAGTGGCAGACCACTGGTAGAGCTTTGTGTTAGCAGTCAGCGGGGTTATTGCATCGCTGGAGGCATGTCGTCCACTCCAGGGGCCTGAGCATAATCTGAATGTTATCACACACACACAACTGCTTGTACCTCCGTCACATGGAAAAGTGCAATGATAGATTATTTCAGAAAAGCACAACGTTTGCATTTCCTCTGTAGTTTTAGCTGTGGTTTCAACAGAACAGATTTTATTTTAAAAAACTATTAAAAAGTAGAACATTTCACTATTTTTGAAGGGAAAGTATCAGCTAACTGTTTTCAACTAGTCTGTAAAATTGTTGACGTATAGAATAAATATGCAGTCTTTTCTAGGATACATATTGTATCATTGTGTAAAAGTTCTTCTCTTTTTGTTTAGATATCTGGATGGAAATCAGTTCAGCGTGGTGCCAAAAGAGCTCTCCACCTTTAAATACCTACAGCTGGTGTAAGTTTTTGTCTGTCTGCCTCTTCTGCCATGTTCCCAGGATTGATATAGTGAAGGCGTTCTCGTTTCATTTTCCTTTCAGCGACCTGAGCAACAACAAGATCAACTCTCTGACCAACTCCTCCTTTGCCAACATGAGCCAACTTACCACTCTGTAAGTCCTGATAAGCCTCGGCTGTCAGAGCTCGTTCATTCTGGTGCTGACAGGAAGATGGAAACATCTGAATTATATATTCTTACATATGTAATCATTTTGACTTTGCAGAATCCTGAGCTACAACTCCCTGCGCTGTATCCCCAAAATGGCTTTCAGTGGACTGCACTCTCTTAGACTGCTGTGAGTTTATTTTTAGATTCTAAATGCATACATTACTGTTTATTGTGTTTGTTTAAAGCTGAGTGCGAAAATCTATATTTAATCCCTCCCGTATCTGTCCATAGCTTTGAAAAATATTTACTCCTTTCCTCTTTACATGCTCAAATGTCTTTGGTTTCACATGATTTCAAAATGACACTCAAATCTGCAACCTCGGTACAAATAATTGAAGTTGTTTTGAAAGGTGGCAGGATGCACTTTCAAGCTAAACGAGTGATTAAGGAGGATATTTTTTGCAGCGAGCACTGACTGCAGAGATGGTGACGCAGATGCTGAGAATCTTTGATTGGCTCCAGAGCACTGAAGCTGTCTGAACATTTAGAACAGCTCTTGAATTCAGGCGTACACTCTGACCTGTTTTCTCTGTTTAAATGCCAGCTATCGGGGCAGCGGTAGCAGCGGCCCTGTTTTAGATCCCATTTCTAACCACACTCCCCACTCATACATGTGCCCAGTTCGCTTGTTCACCTCCGAGCACCCCCGGCTCATCACTGCCTCGCCATCAGGGCCGAGCAGGCAGCCCCACTGCCCCCTGTGCAAAATCACTCTGACACTGATTACTAGAAAATGTTTGCCCTGCTAACTGTAATAGCCTCAGCTCTGCCGTAGGACTTTGCTGAAGCCATGAAGCCTTTGATTGTGCACTCTCGGTGACCGTGGGCTGCTAAATAACTGAGATGTAGACAGTAACTGTATTGGACACAGCGATGATGAAATGAAACGAGCCTTTGGAACTGCATCCAAAGATTACAGCAGCTGCACAAAGCGGAATGCTTTAAAGCCAAGGTACAGTTTGAATCTGCGAGGAGAAATTAAGACCAGGCGCTGCAGCCCTCCTCATGAGAGTCCGTTTGCCTCTGTGTGGGTTTGCTGGTGGCTGTGTGCGTGGACAACATGTTTATCATATACTGACTTGGTGCCTGTTAGTATGTGTGTGGGACTCGACTTCTCAAGCTTCCATGTGCGCTCATAGCAGGCACACTTTTTATTACTGACAACAAAGCTCCAACAAAGCCTCTTTTTACAGCGAGATTCGACTAAAGCCCCCAATCATTATGAGACACAAAGCATGAAGCCCTTTCAGCGTGGAATGAGAGTGAAGCTCGGCCATCATTAACTGATGCCGCCTTGCTAGACCGAGCACACGGCTTTGATCTTTAATGAAGCTGCGTCCGTTATTTCTGCTCTTACTCACTCGCGCCACCTTCGCCTCTGAAACATTCCCTTTGCGAGTTTGTGAGACGCCATGTGAGGCCCTTTCCCAGTGCCACCCGCACCACACACACACCACACAGGCTCCGAGCGGTACACAAACTCAGACGTGCACTCACACAGACCGTCTGGACTACCTTCTTGTCTCCGTCAGCAGACGGGAGTCCAAATGAAGCAGAAAACTTTGATGTCTTTACTGCTGGCGTGATCAATCATAAGGCTCCCATTAAAAGTCAATTGGTGCCATGCTACTTTTTTCTTTACGAAGCAAAGCCGTGGGGGTGCAGCGAAACCAAAGCGACAATGAGCTCAATTTAATAGTTTCGACTTTAAGACCCCACAAAAGGTTCAAAGTTCAAACTTGGAGGCTCCACCGAAACCACAATGGGATGCCAAAGACGGCTCCGAGCGGGACGCGCCAGTGTGCACGAACACATGCAGAGGTGCCAAAGCTTTCATAAAGCTGCACCTTTGGCTTTACACAGCAGTAAAGACGAGAAGAATCATTAACGCTGGGTTCTTCAAACAGACCAGTGGTCAGAGCCTGGCATGGTTGTGGTGTGATGGTGAGGGGTTTGATTGTAAGTCTGCCTGTGTGTGTGTGTGTGTGATAGTTGTGGTTTGAGCTGCAGATTAATATGCTGCTAATTGGCCTGCTGGGTATTCCGTATGAGGTGAGTGAGGTGAGACAGCGCCAGGGCGTGGCCATAAACTGGTCGAGTGGCAACCTGCGAGGAGAGGAACGTGATATGAAAGAGTCTGAGGACGAGAAGCAGAAATAAAACACACAAATTTAACAAGCTACAGCATGCCATACGGCTCAAGACATCCATACAAAGTAATTGTAAAACAGTAAGTGGTGGCAGGTGAACAAAATTGAAGTTTAGTGGGACAGCCTGCACAGGCTGTCACGAGTCGTTATTGGGTTGGTTTCGTTCTGAAAAGTGAAAGGAGAAAGTTAGTGTTAGAGCAGATCGGGTTTCTTCCCAGAGACTCCCTGGCTCCTTTTCCCCAAGAGATTTCTGCCTGGCTGCCACACTACTGCTGACTTCTGCTGCCCCTGTATCCTCAGACTACAACAGCCCATCCACTCGCTTTACGCTAATAAGCAATCTCAACGGCACTCAGCCTAATTAACATGTTGACTCGGGCGGGTTACAGTGTACATTTTCCCTCCGGCGCTCCGCATCCTCACACTGACCGTTTTCCCCCTCTAAATACTTTTCTTTGACTTTTCCACAGCCCTTATCAACAGACAGAAGCCTAAATGTCTCCATCCGGGCACAGAGCTCAGTTGTGTCATGTATTGCTTCCCTGGACTCAGCTGTTGTAACATTAGCTTGCAGTCAGCTGAGGATTTGAGGTGGTAATGACCTGGTGGATTATGTCGGCCATCCGTCATCCCGCCATTAAGCGTTGACAGATTGTCACCGTTGATGGTAGTCAGCGAGCGGGCCGACACAAATTGCAAGACAGTGTTCGTGCACAAATGCTCCCATATTCCACAGTGGGGCTAAAACATAGCAGTACATGAGGGTAGCTTTTTATCGGAACACACACACAGTTGAGTGCATTAAGGGTTATGATTATCCTACATGTGGCGCGGCTCTGTTTCCCCCCCGACCCCCTCGCTCGGCACCCTCGTTGGCTCTGCCAACCACACACACTTAGAAACTTGACACCTGGCTTTTCCAGACCCACACAGCGCCGCGTCTTTGCCAGCTGCTCAAAGCTCAACCAGAAATACAACAGCACAACATAGAGCAGGGAAATATATTTCTATTTTTGTTGAAAAGCTCCAAAATCAGTTTTTTGTTTGCCTTTACCTGCAGTACCTGTACTTTTTTTTTTTTTTTTTACTCTGATGAATCATGTCAAATGTCCTCCCCTCAGGTCTCTCCATGGCAATGAAATCTCAGAGCTTCCTGATGGCATCTTCAGTGATGTGTCATCGCTTTCACATTTGTAAGTGGAAACAGCATGCCTCTGGCAATATCAATTTTCTCTTTAAATCTTTGTTAAATGTATCCAGTGGAAACACACTTTCAGGTACAGAGGAAGATCTGGATAGTGGGGCCAGTGGAGATGTGGAGTTTGTTTAAGTATGCCTGGCTTGGATGCACAAAAACGGCCTCTGCCATCCTGCTCAGATATTCTCATCACTGATGGATCAATAGACATATCAGTGTCAGAGCTGAGGAGGAAGAAGGCGGGATAGCACAGACTAAACAAAGACATTTTGTAGAAAAGCAGTACAGGAGTCAAGGCTGCGTGAAATCGGGGGGGGGGGGGGGGGGTGGACGGAGGGACCCATTGATCCTCAGTCACAGTCAAGTGGCTTTCATGTTAGCAGATGTCAGGTGTCAGCTATTGGCCCGGCCTGAAAGATGAGCCAGTGTTCCGACATAATGGAACAGCATCGATTTAGGAGTGTTTGTGCATCCAGCAGAAGAACAGAGCTCCATTGATTCACGACCACCATGACAGAGGTGGTTAAGAGTGCCTTCTGTTCGCACCTTTGCCTATAATTGAGCCGCACTCCTTCAGATGATATATGGAACAAAACTGTATTGAGCAGTGAACGGTAATGAGATGTTTTATTCTCGGTGAAGCGCTGATTCATTTATGTGGTGATTCAAGCTGAGTTTGGCACAGGTCATTTTCTACGTGGGTATGAAGACCCCTGCTGGGGGGCCCAGTGTACTGCAGCTGGATTGCCAAATTCAAGGTTTTCTTTCTCTCTGTAAAATCAGAGCGATCGGTGCCAACCCCTTGTACTGTGACTGCCGCCTGCGCTGGCTGTCTGACTGGGTGAAGACTGGATACAAAGAACCTGGAATCGCCCGGTGCGCCGGACCACAGGGCATGGAGGGCAAACTGCTCCTCACCACACCCGCCAAGAAATTTGAGTGTGGGGGTGAGTCGTGGGGTCTTGGACACGGGATGGAGCTAAACAGTGAAAGGGGTGAAAGGGTCCACGCAGGGGCTGAATCTGTGTCTCTGTCCTACTTGCGCAGGTGAGGTGGACACAGCGGTGCTGGCTAAGTGCAACCCCTGCCTGTCCAGCCCCTGTCTGAACCACGGCATCTGTCACAGCGACCTGGTGGATGTCTACAGGTGTAGCTGTCCTCCGGGATTCAAGGTGAGAGCTACGCGCCGCCACCGCAAACGTGTCGGTGTCCACTTCCATAGATAAAGGAAACAGACACCGACATAGACCTCACCTCTGTTCTCTGTCTCAGGGGAAGAACTGCGAGACGGGTCTGAATGCCTGTGTGAACAATCCATGTACCAACGGAGGAACATGTCACGTGGGCGAGGATGATAAGGGGGAATACAGGTGAGGAAGGCAGGGTTTGGAAGCATCCCAGTGAAGGCGTGATCCCAGAGCTTGATGATATGACCGAAATGCTTGTTTCCTTTTGCAGCTGCACGTGTCCACTGGGCTTTGAGGGCCCCACTTGCCAAATCAATGTTGACGACTGCGAAGACAACGACTGTGAGAATGGAGCCACCTGCTTCGATGGAATCAACAACTACACTTGTTTTTGTCCCCCCTACTACACAGGTTAGTGAACGAACAGTCTGATTCTGCTTTCTGTTGCCTAAATCTAGACATGCATCAAGAAGCAATGTATCGTTAAAAAATAAACTAAACCATCTCGCTAGAGGAATACAGTTTGTTTTTTGTGAAAAAAGGCAAAATATTTATTTAGAGACAGTTAAAAGTCTAAATTACACACAATAGAACAACAAAACTTACACGAAAACTTGATGTGAACACAGATATGAAGTACGCCATTATGATTGTGGCTTTTATTCAACTTGTTTTCTTATCAACAAAAAAAAGCTTTACAATTACATTGAAAAAAATAGAAAACATTTTGGAGACTTTCTTCAAATAAGTGGAATAACATTCTTATTTATGATCCTACAAAATTGGAACCAATTTCCTTTTGATTTTCTTGCAGAAACATTTCAGTTCAGTTGAGTTCAGAACTTGTTTTCAGTCCAGGTAGTTTCCTGTTTGCTGAAATCTGTTTTCCTATGCACTTCAACAAGGTTTTTCTCGCCAGAAACATCTGTTGTCAGTATTTCTTACCACTGAATACTCCCTCAACCTACAGAAGGTTGATGCTAATGTGTTATAATGTTATGCACACTGTTTGTTTTCCTCCACATACGCTGTTGGAAACTGTGACCTAATGATGAATCAGAACTGAGGGTAAATGTGGTCTTTCGTAGAATGAATACCTTTTTAAATTTCCTGTGCAGGGGAGATGTGCGAAGAATTGGAAGATATGTGTGCCCCGGGACGAAGCCCCTGCCAACACCAGTCTACCTGCCTCATCACCTCCTCTGGACCCAAGTGCGTGAGGCACCGGACACTCCCTCTGCAGCCGGCTGAGAAACGCGTGTTGTGGGGGGCTGACTCCGGCTTTGCGTCTGTGCTCTCTGCAGGTGTGTGTGCTCTCCTGGTTACGTTGGCGATGACTGCAGCCTAGACTACGACGACTGCAAGGAACACCGCTGCCAGAATGGAGCTCGCTGCATGGACGAGCTGAACGGCTACTCCTGCGTCTGTCCCCAGGGGTACAGGTGAGAGGAGTCCCGGGGGTGGGACTCTGCTCAGGCTGCTCGGCGTCCTCAGGCCTCGCTCACCTGATCCTACCCCCAAACAATCCCCTCCGTGTTCTCTCTGCAGTGGTCAGCTGTGCGAGGTCCCGCCGTCCCCTCTGTCTCTGTGCGAGCTGGCGGACTGCCAGAACGATGCCCCCTGTGTGGAGAGAGGCGGGCGCGCCCTCTGCCAGTGCCCCCCCGAGTTTGGCGGGCCCCGCTGCGAGAAGCTGGTCAGCGTCAACTTCATCGACAGGGACTCCTACCTCCTGCTGTCCGACCTCAAGAACTGGCCGCAAGCTAACATCACCCTGCAGGTACACGCCACGGCTTCACTTTTTTCTTAAGACTGTGACAGCCGTCCAGTGTGAAAAAAGATCATGATGAGAACGGCCTGCGGTTGTCCGTGCAGGTGTCCACGGCCGAGGACAACGGCATCTTGCTGTACAACGGAGACAACGATCACATTGCGGTGGAGCTCTTTCAAGGCCACGTAAAGGTTAGCTATGACCCCGGCAGCCAGCCAGGACACGCTATTTACAGGTGAGGGGATGTTTTCTGTCTCTGCTCGGCGGTAAACACGTTCTGTGTCGGCTATTGTGACAACAGCATGTGTCTTATCTGTGTTTTCTTTTTCTTTTTCTTTTTTTCCGTCCCAGTACTGAGACTATAAACGACGGTCAGTTCCACACAGTGGAACTGGTGACCTTCGACCAGATGGTGAACCTGTCAATTGACGGGGGGCTCCCCACCACAATGGACAGCTTTGGGGCGGTGCGGCCCCTCAACGGGGAGGCGCCGCTATACGTGGGGGGTAGGGGCCCTCTCCAGAACACACCTCCCTCCTCTGCAGGCACTCTTAACTACTACACTACTGTTAAATCACCACCCCTCCCCCTCGCTTTTTCACCACCGCAACCAGTCCCCACCCCTCCACCATACAGCCCATCGTCCCATCCCCACCCCGGTCCTCCACCATCCACCTGTCAGTCAGGACTGTGTTTGCTAGGGGCCACATGTGGACATCCAAATACGTCACTCGTAGTAGATATGGCGGGTGAACAGCGCCCTCTAGTGACAGTGCCACGAGAACTAACAGACACAGTCCTTTGTTGTACTTTCATTCATAAAAGCGTTCAGTTTTGTTGGATAAACCAGCCACTCTTGACAATCCCAGATTCTGGCGTTCAAAGTGTTAAACTGTAGCCAGCGGATTTTAACAAAATACTTTGTTAAAAGTTATGAGAATAGTTTCCCCAATTTGTAGGCCGGTATGGCCGTTTGTTCAGGAGTGGCTGGGCTTTTGTGTAGTTTGTCGTAGTGCTGTGATGTGCTGTGTTGTGCAGTGCTGTTCTTCGTTCATAAAACACCAAATGGAACTTTTTCTTTCATTCCTTTTGCCATCCGATTTTTTCAAAGATGATGTGTCTCATGGTGCTGATGCAGAATACATAGTCAGATAAAAGGTGGCTTATGTTTGACTGCATAGGGACTTCTGGGACGCTCATGTTTGAAAAGGATTTCCTCCATTGCACTCATACCAGCCCTGTGTTCACTGTTTGTTTGTGAGCCAGCACGCACGTCTTCATATGTGTAAAGACTTCTTTTCTGGCTCCTCCTCCAGGCATGCCGGTGGACGTCCACTCGGGGACTTTCCGTCTCTGGCAGATTCAGAATGGCTCCAGTTTTCACGGCTGCATCCAGAACTTGTACATTAATAACGAGCTCCAGGATTTCACCAAGACCCAGATGAAACCCGGCGTGGTACCTGGCTGCGAGCCGTGCAAGAAGCTTTACTGTGTCCATGGCATCTGCCAGCCTGATGGGGTCCAGGGACCGGTGTGCCACTGCCAGCCAGGCTGGAGCGGGACGCACTGTGACCAACCTGCTCTGAACCCCTGCCAAGGCAGCAAGTATGTGTTAACGTCCTGTAGACTCAAGATGGATCCTTGCTTCTTCTAACAGCCACTTTTACAATGGCAGCTAATATTTTTTAGCAAATACAGTTGAAAAATATACCAGAAACCCGATTTTGGTGTTTAGATCTACTTTGCATTATATTAGATTAGTCTGCTATTTTAAGCATACAGTAGTATAAGACTTTCAATGGCTTTATGCACTAAGATGGATTTTCTTTTAGGTGAAAGATGTTTATTAGAATGTAATTATGTATATATCTATTCTATTTCCCTCTGGAATGTAACTGAGTATTACAATCACTGCAAAAAGGTAATCATTGTGACCTTTTTCATTGTTGTGTATCAATTCCTTTCCCCTAGTTTCAACGATTGATTCCCTTATCATGCAAAATATCTAATCGAAGTGAATGTTTTTGATCAGGTGTGTCCATGGGAAGTGCATCCCTCTGGACGCTCAGTCCTACCGCTGTGAGTGTGCAGAGGGTTATCGCGGCGCCCTGTGTAACCAACAAGGGGAACTGTTTAACCCCTGCCGCCGCCTGTCCTGCAAACACGGCCGGTGCCAGATCTCAGACACAGGAGACGCATACTGCCACTGTGAGAGTGGCTACACCGGTGAACTCTGTGATGCAGGTTGGTTGGCGCCGTACGACCCGTAAAGACGTGAACTGAAACATATCATACCATTTTTCTCATACAAATCCATTTTTGTATTCTACGTCTGTTTTTTTTAGAGTCTGAGTGTCGAGGGGAGCCCGTGCGGGACTTCTACCAGGTGCAGCGGGGGTACGCCATCTGCCAGACGACGCGCATGGTGTCCTGGGTGGAGTGCACCGGAGCCTGCGACACGGGGGCCTGCTGCGCCAGCCAGCGGATGAAACGCCGGAAATACACCTTCGAATGCAGCGACGGGACCTCCTTCAGCGAGGAAGTGGAAAAGACCATCAAGTGCGGCTGCGTGGGCTGCATCTAGCAGCGGTCGCTCACACGTCCTGCCACTGTCCCAGAGCGGAAGACGGAGAGCAAGGAAGGAAAGAAGATAGAGAGAAAACTGCAGAAAAGTGGAGGAGGGAAAGAAAGCAAGAGAGATTATACAGAATATATATAAAACCTCTATCTATATATTATGGACAACAATGTTTGTAAAATAGTACATTTCCCCCCCTGGAGAGGGTGTGTGACCTACAGTAAAACAGAAAAGCCGACATCGTGAGCAGCGTAGGAGTGACACCAACGGCGGCCATTGTCCCGCAGCGCTGTTCTGAGGGGGCACAGATTTCAGTGTTGCAAGGAGAGTGAAGCATCCTTCAATCCCCAAAATATCCCGTGTGAAATCCCACATCCATCCGTGAGGCCTCCGATGGGTCGACCACCATCTTCCATCCTTACCTGACGGGGACAGCGAGGACAGCGGGATCCACTCCGGCTAAGACTGGCAGGTGGAGAAAAAAACGAAAGGAAGAAAGGGAGAGCTGGACCGTTTGACTTGGCGAGGCTGTCTTGAGTTGAGCTTGGCTGGGTTACCTGGACTGTGCTGGATGCGGTTTGGGTCGAGGTGAAAGTCGGTGTTGGTTTCGATGTAGCATTTTCTCCGCGAGGATACCGTCATCCATCCACACACGTGCATGTTGAAGCGAACGGGAGGAAAGGAGGATGTAGGGTTTTAGGGGCGGCCCGTAATCCTGAGCAGGCGTGGCGTCCACAAGGGTTAGGGGGGGTTCGGCGTCTCAGCTGCCTGCTGTCAGGGACCGAGACACAGCAATTCTTCCCCACAAATAAGAGACTGCACCGACCAGCAGCACGGAAAACCACAGTCATACACCTCTGAGGAACATGATCACACATGCATGGCACACACACTACCACAGCACGGCTCCCGGAGGCTTGCGTGGAGGAGCTGATCTGCTTTGTTCGTACAGCAAACCGGCGTGGCGTGGTCAGCGGCTATCAGCCTTAGGGTCAGGACGTTTCGCATTATTCCTCCCCCCCCCTCTGAGCAAAAGGCCGATTAACCCCGCACCTGCTGATGCCTGCAGTATTAAACGTGTGCAAACTGTTGCATGTGAGGAGCAAAGTTTGCCATCAAAAAATGTCAAGCGTCTTCATATTGTTGCATTTCTGATAACAGAACAAAAGGTCTCAGAATCCGTTTTTATTTTCGTTCTTATTTCTCATGATTTTTACGGTTTATATTTTGTTATATTTTGTCTCATGATGTAATCCTACTCCTTTAGTTGATTCAACCCACTTCTACAACCATTTATATAGAAATGCCTAACAGATTCTAATATATATATATATATATATATTTGTATTTCGTTTTGGTATAGTATTTTTCTATGTTAAAGAGTAAGTCTGTTTCTGGAAGCACTCGGGCTGGTGGAAAAGCATTCAGTTGGTTCCCTTGGTGTTTTTATTTGTTAATCTCACCTTCTCCAAATAAGGTATTAATTACATTATTAGGCCAAAAATGCAGCAGCGGTTTGGCCTTGTTGTATAGGAGCCAGTATTGATTTAGAAATATGTTTAATATTGTATATGTTGTCTTCCATGTGAATATTACATCTAATTCATGAGAATCTGTGCTTGTTTTTATTTATTTTATCGTAAGAAATATTCCTGTTGAGTGAAAAGGCATAAATGTTGCAGGCATTCAAGTGTTTTAAAAAGATGAAAAAGGTGAAATATTAAATACAAAATAGCAAAAAAAAGAAAAAATCTGAACGGCATCACTTAATAGCAAGATCCTCCAGTGTTTTCCGCCTCTGTGGCTCAGGCATTCACTTTCTGATAAGAAGATGCCCCCCTACAAAGACAGATCACATGTCATGGCTTTTTTTTTATGTTCATCTAGTTGAAATGGTGGGTTGTGTTTCTATCATTTGAATCTGAGAGACGTTAACCAATAGAACAAAGGTGTTTTTAATTTAGTCAAGCTCAACTGATCATAAGCTGCTGTCAAGCCAGAAGAAACAGGATGAAGTTGCCTCTGTGGACGCTAATGATGTTAAGGGGGTTCATCCTGAGGTTCCTTTCGAACGGGCAACTGTGTGAAGCTTTACATGGCTACTACTGACAGATAATACAGAGAAAGGTCTGGACATTTTCATTATCTGTCAGTTCTGACTCACACAAAAAAAAAAAGATACAAAAAAAAAAGAAAGAAAAGGTGCCAATTACAGAGAACAGTCATACCTGAATGTATAAATGTGTATAGATAAATATGACTTATGCTTATTCATGAAGTGGTAACTTTTAGCTGTTATTTAGTTTCCAATGTAAGATATAGAAGTCACATCCTGTTGAAAGAGTGACGGCCAATCAGGATGGAGTACGGCATTGTTCTGGGATTGTGTTTCTCTAAATGTCTCTGTAGTGACTCAGATCTCAGCTGGGCGACACATCACACAGCTCCTGTTCATATTGCTATCCATGTTAACTTTGTTTTACATGCCGTTGATGTGATGCCAGTGGTGTACAATAACAATACAGAAGATCTCATGAATAATACTTATGAACAGTCACCGTCATACTTAGGCTCTGCGCCTCATAAAGGCGCGTATTTAGTCAAACGTGACGTTCCTTCCTCTGCACTGATCTGTGCTCGATCGGTGCATTCAACTTCCTGCTAGACATCTTAGTGGTGCTTGTGCTATATTGAGATGTAATTCTGTTATCTGGTCATATAACCAGAAACACTGATTTTCCATCATATGAACTATATACATAAATGTTATTGTGAACAACACAATGTCTCTGTTGTATTAATATGGTGCAAAAACTTAAGAAAAATCCCTGGTTGGGTTCTGTCTGTTTGCTTTTACGTTGCAGGACCGATGGTGGGATTGAACTGAAAAACTCAATTATGCTGAATGTATGTAGTGCCACCGACAAAATGTTTACCAAACCTCCACTCTTTTCATTAATTAAACTTAAAATGTGTGTGCTTTTACCAATGTATTTGTATTTTTTGTCTCTGGCCTAGTTTTTGTTTATTTGGCTAAACATTTTAAACTAGCAGGTTAGTGCTTTGGTTCAAATGTGGTTTTTCACATCAAGATCTTGGACTTCTTGTTTTTGTACATAGACATTATAGGCTAGACGAGTTGTTTTGATTGTACAGCCTTTTCCAGTTTGCAAAGCACAGATAGCAAAGATTGAAGTCACTTGCTATGAAAGACCCATATTGGAATTACAGCAAGGATGGGTCCTCTCCTCCTGAAGTCATAACTCCAACCAGGTGATGTACACAAGTCTGAATTTCCACGTGTTTAAAGACCTATGCAAGGTCACCCAGAGGAATAATTCTGACTCATCCATAGCCAAGTCTTAACAGCAGTAATTTGGCAAAAACAAGTGGGATAGTTATTTGTGATCTGCATTGCAATGATACAAAAAGCTGCTGCCCCCATTGAGAGCTGGTTAACTTTAAGATATACATTGTATATCTTTAAGTTAACCAGCTTTCATAGAATAACGAAGGAGCTTTCCTGTTTCAGTTGGTAATCCTTAAAACGCCTTTTAACATTTTCCCCACTGACCATTAAGTTAAATGAATCACCAACTTCCCAATGCCACATTTGTTAGTAATGAGTTGGTCATTTTCCTGCTCTCCGCAGCGACTGAGCTAACGGAGGCCAACTGTTAACCAATCTGTCCCGCAGTGGGAATTTCCTGTGCTGCTTAACAGCCGTGTGGCAGGTTCTCGTCGTGTGAAATTCCATCAGTGGATTCATAAAGGCTTTTCACGAGACTGGCTGCTTTACAGACTGTTACCCGTGTACAGCACTGCTATGGCTGCTGGGACACCGGGTTCTAAAGCTTTGTTAACTCTACAGAGGCTAAAAGCTGCAAGCTCAAAGTTTTGGTGCGATGCACAGGTCAATACAAAATACAAGAAAGTCTGGCCTTCACTTTCCCTCTCTCTTTGGGAAAATCCATCCGAGGGTCATATTAAACTTTGGTTGAACAAAAAAAAAATGAAAGAAAAAATATATATTAGTGTAGTATACTATATATGTAAAGTCGAGAAAGCCATAAAATTCAAACATCTTTATATCAATTCCAGCAAAAATACAAAGTTCTGAACATAAAGATGTATCATTCTTGGGATTACCACAAATAAAGCAAGTATTTCTTTCTAATATACAAAAATCAAAATCTTTAAATAGCAACTGTAAAGAATAAACATGTTCAAGTTTGATATTTGGTGGGTTGTTTTAGATTAGCTAAATTCATTAGCCTACATGGAGTTCTTAAATAACAATAAAAACATGGTGGACCTGTTTTGCATTTACAGATGATTTATCTTCTTATAGGAAATGGCCATAATAATAATAAAAAAGATAACACTGTCCTAAAATTGTTTTTTTTCTTTGACAATATGCTCATGTAACTTACTATTGTGAAAGGAAGCTTCACATTCTGAGAACTCGCCCAACAACCAGTGACAATAAAATACACATATCATAAAACTGCAACACAAAATTACAAAACCAGCTTGTGAAAATTCCTGGCAAGGAATTCTCCCTCTTCGACGTGCTGTTAATGCTCAACAGGCCATGAAGTTCATTAATGTCAGGCCTTTGTTCTGCTCTGAGGAATCACTGTTCTTAGAGGGATACAAAGGCCAATATCCCCAAGTCATCCAAATGGTCCTTATAGTACTGAAAGTGTCGGTCAAGTCAAAGATCAGCTGAATAAATAGAGAGCTGGGCTTCTGCGCTGCATTGAAACTTGTCTCCATGTGGGATTTTCACCCGTGCAAAAGCAGGTAAAATCCCCAGAGGCGACAGTGGATGGGATTGGGTCAGAGTCATGACATCTGACCCCGGACAGCAAATAATAGACACTTGTCATGACGCACGCAGAGAACTCAACATCCAACAGCTACAACAGGAACAATTCTGTGTTAATGCTTTGGGAGAAAAAGAAAAGGAGAAAAGGGGTAAAAACAAACTTGTCAGAGAAGACTGAGTCAGAAAATCTGAATGTCGTTGAGAAAGTGTGAGTTTGCAGACGAAGTGTGGAAGAGAAACAGTTTGCACTGGCTCCGGGGGGAAAGTGACTGAATGAATGGCTCTCCTGCAACGGGAGAAGGGGGAGGTTTCACATTTAGCAACACATTCGTTTACATTACATTTCATAAATAAGGCACCTGGTCACAACGGTCACTTAATGCTGTGATTGGAAGACAGGCTGGAGATACAAACTGCCAACTTGCTGTAAAAATCGTATTCAAAGCTCCATCATTTGCCACCTTGAGCTGACAAAAAAAACAAAAAAAAACAGCAATCAAGTATATGTGATCACACTAAAACAACACACGCAATGGGGAAAAAAAAACAAGAAGGTGAATTTACTTTTTGCCACCTTGAACAGCATCTAATCTTAAAGTTTCTTGTTCCATGATCTAAAATGAGGGTTGACAGGCTTTTGTAATCTCCAGCCGTGTCAGAGTACTGAAAAAAGAGACGTCGTCCGAGACTCGTCTGTAGCCGCTGCACGCGGAGAAAATGCTAAGCAAATGTGACGTCATGTTAGCATCTTTCACTCTGAGGCTTTACAAAAGCAAGAGAAATTGAAAAGCTGTTCTTTCCCTGGTACTTCCTACCGAACAGAGTGTCCCCTGAAGAGTTTGGAGAGAACGCAAATTCGACACGTCTGGGCCTCTGTCAGCAGATAAAAGAAAAACCCTCTAAACGAAGACCAGCCCTCTGGGCAGGCCCGTGTCACTTAGTCCTGGTGCGCTTGGTGGGGGTCTCTAAGAGCTCCTGGGCTCTGGTGGTGGTCCCTTTGGCGGCACCGCGTGGCAACAGGGCCGCCTGGCTTCTCTTCGAGGCTCCACTTCTGGTCACCGCGGGCTCCTCCCCCTTCCTGAGTGACTTGGGGGATGCGGCCTGTGGGGTGGCGGACTTGGCGGCCCTCTTGGAGGCGTTACCGGGGCTCCCGCTCGGCGGGGCGGCCCCCTCCATCCTCCTCTGGGAGCGTGTCAGCACCTGGTCGGCGGGGGCCGGCGCTTTGAGCTCTGGGCTCTGCGCTGGGCTCCCGGGGGCGCTCTCGCCCCCTCTGCTTTCCGCCGGCGTGCTCACTGGGGGCTCTTTTGTTTGGACCTTTGCCGGATTCACTCTGTTCGCCGAGCTTTTCTCCACGTCCGCTTTGCCAGCCTCGGTTTGTTTTTTACTAGCAACTTTGCTTTTCGGGGTGTGCTCCGGGTTGTGCTCGGACATTTTAGGGGACCCGAGTCGTTGGGAAAATCTCTTTGGCGGCGTTTCTTTCGTCGCGTCTCTGGACGCTCTGCCGCTGCCCTGAGCCTTGACAGCCCTGTCTTGAGTCAAATGCTTTTTGGAGGTTTTCCCAGCCAGCAGCTTCCTCCTTTCCAGTTTTACTGAGATCTCTTTCATTTGTTTGCTAACGGCTAAGGCCGGTTTCTGCCCCTTCAGGGGCCGCTTTAAATTTGTTTTAGCTGCGGACTTGGCGGCGGATAATGTTGGTATTTTTTTGCTTTTGAGCATTTTTGAGGCCCCCTTAAGTCTAACGTTGGTTTGCTGGACCTGCATCTTCCCTCTAATGTTGGAGTATTTCCTCAGGATTCGAGCGCTTGCCGGGTTCTTTGATTTTCCGGAGGTTTTCTGTGACTCATTTATCTGTGCCGAAGCTTTGGCAGAGGAATACGCTTTAGTCGGAGTCTGAGCGTTGCTAGGGAGTTCGGCTTTTTCTTTCCCCTTGACTGCAATTCCCTCTTGCTCCAATGCTTTAGCAATGAGCTTCTGACTCTTGGGATTGCTCTTCACAGGAGAAGCAATGGCGAATTTCTTCAAATGTTTCTTTAGGCGCTCTGCCTGCAGGCTTGGGAACACCCCCTGCGAGGTCCCCGGTGTGTTCGAGGAGCTGTGGAAGCACAGCTGAGTTTCTGATGGAAGACGCGTGTTCACCTTCTTGACAATAACCAGGGACTTTGTTTCTGTGGATTCGAGATACCAGCGACAGATGCTGGTGAGATTGAACCCTTTCATGAAGAGCATTTGGACAGGTGAGTATTTCTGCTGCTCTGAGGACTTTGGTTTGCGCGCCCTGCGTTTGCTTTTCCAGATAGCTGCCTGCCGGTCCGATTTGTTTCTGTACTTGACTGCTGGCTGTCCGTCTTTGTCCATTTGCACCCAGCCTTTCTGCATCTTGTCGAACTTGATATTCAGATTTGTAATGAGTTGCTGGCTCTCTTCGCCAGTCAGAGTCTCAAAGAATTTGTTGGGCGTTGGTTTTGGGGGTCCGGGTTTGGGAGCAGTGGCGGGGAGGTGCGAGCAGTGGGGCACAGCTGGAGACGTTGTGGGACAGGGCTTGGCCTGAGCTTTGGGGGTTCTCTCTGGCATTACCCTCAGAGGGGACGCGACGTCGCTCTGCCTTGAAGTCTCAGTATGAGCACTGGCGGCGGGTGCGGCAGATCTTTGTGATCTCAGGGTTAATTTCTTGTTCGCTGCTGGGGATGACGGGGCGGCAGCATGTTGAGACGCTTCGGTCCTGCTCGTCTCGCTCCTTAACGGCATCCTTGTGGGCCTTTCCGATACAGAGCTGTTATCCTCTCCGCCTGCAGGCCTCTCCTCTGTGGATGCAACGCATTTCTTCTGGGTCAATGCGACATCACTTGCATCTGCGTCCTTTCGGAGAACACGCTTGCTTCTTAAAGGCATAAACTGAGTCTCGGTCTTGATATTACCTACGCTTTCAGCAGGATTTGAGACCTCATCACCTAGCGTCTGTTTTTCACTATTAGCGTCCTCTGAAACATCCTTTGCAGATCTTAATTTTTGTTTGGTATTCGTTACCCCTTCTGCTTCACTTTTGTGTACAGATCCTGATGTTGACTCCATGGGCTCTGCTTTTCCAGTGTTTAATTCCACAGTTTGAGGGACTGTGTTCGGCTGGGACTGCTCGGAGGGTGGGGGTTCTGACCTGACCACAGGAGACGAGCTGACCTGAAGTGGGAGAGGGAGGATAAGTGTTGTGCGCTGCTCTGCGGGTGGAAGAATGAGGGTGGACGATTCTGGAGAGGAAATGGAAGTGATGACATTTAGAGCGGGTGGTGACGCCGGAGTGACAGAGGGCCTCTGGCTGGTTGATCGAAGCTGCCGTTTGGGCTCTGAGCTCTGAGTGTGATCAGGACCCTCATCAGAGAGCACTGGCAAACTATCCTGGCCTTTCTTTCGTTTGTGGGTTTGCTTAGTCCTTGAGGAAAACTTAGAAACTGGACTTGATGGAATGTCAAGGACTGGTTCTGCCTCTTGCACAACTGCAATGGTGGTCTCTACCGGTTTGACAGTCTTTTGTTTTTCAAGAGTAGATTTCTGAAATTCGCTGCTTTCAACTTTAGACTGAAGAGCAGAACTAACTAAACTCTTGGTGGGTACGTTCTGACCAGCTTTCCCTGGAGTTTTACATGGTGATGTTTGGTTGCCGGCGGGTCTGTGGCGCAGATTTCTGTCAGAGGCAGACACTGGTTGACATTTAACATAACCCACTATCACTGCATCCGTTTCTTTCAACCTCGTTGGAGGAATCTTGGTGCCTTTTTTCCTACGCCAAGGAGGCAAGAGGGCATCCAGTGACAGATCACACTCACTTTCTTCCTTCTCGAAGGGAACTGTACCGTCAACTGCCTCAGGTTTTCTAGGTTCTGCATCTTTCACAACCATCTCCTCCGCTGAGCCTGTGGCGATGGCCTTCCCTGACACTAGATGGCTGTCACAGTGTTTCTGTGTCTCCAGCTGAAGTTCCTGAGGCTGAGGTTCCTGAGGTTGCTCGTCTTTTATTTTCTCCCCTTTATCTTCTTTCTCTTCCTCGACTTGACTCAGTGCTGGCTGAGGGCTGTCCGGCTGCTGAACGGGCTCACTGGGGAGCAGTGTATCTGATGGGGGCTGCTTTGCAGCTTCCTCTGTGGTGATGCTCTCTGGTGGCTCACCCTCCGTTTCTACCAGTGTTGGCTGTGCTCTGTCCTTTGTGCCCTCTTGAGGCTCTGGCTCATTCTCTTTCACCGCTTCAAAAGAAGACTGACCAGCACTTTCTTCACTTACTGTCTTCTTCCCTGATTCTGGACTTACTTCCCGTTCCTTCTGCTCTGCGTTCAGATCGGTGTCTTCGTTCTCTCCTGAGCATATTAACAGGGAGTGTGGACTGGGCTGCCCCTTGCTCTGACACTGATCCGTCTGACTAGTTTCAACAACAACGTCCACTTTGCTGGCTGCTATCTCTACAACATCAGCTCCTGGTATTACGCTCTCATCCGTCTCTTCTGTGAGGATTTGTTGAATCATGGTGTCCCTGCATGCTCCAGCAAAAGGCATATCCACAGGAGGTACCCCTTCTGGTTTCGAAAGGACTTGTTTTGGGGTGACCAGCGTCATCAGCTCCGGCATGGGATTGGGACAGTTGCCCCGCCCGGCCAGTGTCCGGACAGTTTTTACCTCCCAGATTTCATCTGCGTACAGATGGCCCCTGGTGCTTTTTCTGGCATTGCGACGCGGGTGCAGGCTGCGCCGCTGCTCCTTCAAACATTCTGTAATAGGTTTGTCAATAAAAACAATGTCACAATGGCCAAGATCTGGGTCGATCACCGATCTACAAGCAGGGTCCCTAGCTCGATGCTCAGAGGAGCCTCTGATGGTCTTCCTAGCAGTCCGCGCAGAGTCTGACGGAATGGTCAAGTGGACTGGAAACACTTTTGCTGGTGTATCTTTGGCATATCCGAGAGTCTCTCTTTGCCCTACTTGCAGACTAAGACTCGTCTGACTGTGTCTCTTTATAGAAGAGCTGAGTCTGGCACTATGAGTCTCTGCTCTGTTGGATGAAGGCGAGTTACCCTGTTTGTCCTCCAATGTGGTGCAAGAAAGAGTGGCGTTGAGCACACATGACAGCTTCTTACCAGCAGCGTTGCTGGTCATGATTTTCATCTTAAGAGGTGCGTGTGCAGTGGGCGAGGCCAGAGCGTCGTTAGTCCCGGACCCGGGGCTGCAAAGATCCAAAGCAGGGCCAGCAGTTACAGATGTTTTCGGGGACACAGCATTCTCCGGGACCTTCTTAATTGCACAGCTGCTTGGCACAGAACGGGAGAGTTCCTGGACTTCTGGCCGAGAAGTGGACTGACTGGGAATGCTTAGTTGAGGGCGTAATTTCTCAGGAGTGACTGCATTGGAACAGGTGGTCCCGTGGGTGTCAGAGGTAGAGTTCAGGGCTTTCTGTGTATTTGAGGATGCATGTGCCTTAACTTCCATCTGAAGAAAGCCTATAGCATCTATGATCTGTCTCTGATGGTGGGGGCAGAGTTTGGCCATGAACTGCTCCAGAGTGGAGGCTGACTGCAGATCTTTTGCCTTCGCAGCACACAAGTCTGGAGACTCCCTGTGGAGACAAAAGAAGGAGAGTTGGTGTGAGTTAAACTTTTGATCCAAAACTAAAACACTAATGATTTTTAAAATGTTTGGGTTGGAAAAAAACGCAAATAGATTATATTCGTTGTTGTACATTTATTGAAAGAATAAGCCATTTTAATGTGAATCATTCATCCAGTGAACTTGACCAATTACAGTATTACAGCTACAACATTATTTGCACATATTTTCAATATACATACGTACATTTATATAAGTGAAAAATAACACATGCACAAGACATTTAGTAAGATTAGCCCACTTTGATTCACTCATTACTTCAAATACATAAGGGGGAAACATTGAGTACATTGTTTTGTTTTCTAAGCTTTCATGTCACGTTTTGCACTGAGTAGTGCAGAGGGCGACAATCAGATGTAAGAGTAAATACAAAAATAAGTCAACTAGGGAAAAAACATATCTATATAAATCTGTATTCATCACCTATTTGGGGATGTGTAATCGTTCATTTTGCCAAAACACATATTTATAGCTTAAAGTAGTGTTTTGTGGGTTTTTTAAAGCCCTGCATTTATTTAGACAAAGACACCACATCTGTATCCCTGAGATAACCCATCGTAAAGCTGTGTGTAGGGGTAGCAGCAGCAGCAGCTGTAACATGTTGTCAGAGATGAATGGGATGTCCAGTTCTTCTAAATGTCAAACATTTAAAGATGATAAATAATGCACTGTGAAATATCATTACCTCTTAGTTCACTGAAATGTTGAACTGCTGTTCTAACACCCCCCTCCCCATCCCACTACAGCAGCATTTCACGGTTTCACCTCAAAGTAGATGCCACCCCACCCCCTTAAGTGTCCACAGTAAAAACAATAGTCTTTAGAAAATGGCTGTGGAGAGATATGGATTTAAACTTTATCACAAAAGAATCAAATCTCTCTTTAGACGGAAACGTGTGTGATGTTCTGCTGAACTACAGAAATGTGTACAGAAATTAAGCTGTTTTGTATTATTAATCAATGCTGTCTGAGGCACTGACTTAAAAAACAAGGGAATAAAAAGACATGTGTGAAACACATACCCCTCTGGTCAACATTTAACCTGCTTTGTGGTTATATTGACATTCATCACGTATCATCATAAGACTGATAGAAACAGCAGATTTCATATTGATTTTGCTTTCCTTGTTTGGTTTAAAAACACAAAAGAATTTTAACAACACACCATAAAAACGCAAATCTGACTACTAAAGATTTAGAAATAAATTTCAGAGGTTTAAAAAAAGAAAAGAAAAATAGCATTTTCTGAAACTTAAACCTACATGCCTTTCTTTTGCTAAGCTTATTAAGTTCTCATCCCTGCTTATGAGGTCTGAGGAGTAAAGTAGAGTACCTGAATAACAAGTGGTGTTTCATCCCTGAGGGTTTCATTTAGCATTGCTGAAAGGAACTCAAAGTTTAAGCCTTTCTCTTCCAGTGAAAAAAACATATTCCATCTAACAAGAACAAGCAAACCGCAGAGCGCCACAATAACACATAGAGATGGATGTATCAGGCCAACAATTATGTTGATATATTTAGAGAACATTAGGGATATAAATTATGTCCTTTCAAACTAAAGACAGGAATTGAATCAGAAATCTTTTGTTAAACATCATCCAGACTTTGATCCAGTTTAGTAGTGCGTCAGTAAATACTTTAAGTACATTAATAAAATAACAAGCGAATGGTTCAAAATTAATTTATAATTAAATGTTCTAGAAATCTGAATGTATCACAAACTCCCCAAACACATGTCATTTAGTCAAATCATGCAAAACACCAAGTGTCCTCTTTTATATACTGTAAATGCTAAACCAAAGATACACAAGCTGTGCGCATGTTCGTGGCCTGTGATACCCGACTTATATCATCTCAAGTTGCAAATAGACTTTGGTCCTCATATATTTACAGAAAAGATAACCAAGCAGTGTCACACAATGCAAGATACTTTTAAATCTTCTTTTCTATCATATAATACATAGAAATATATTTTTAAACATTTTAGTTGTGTATCTACTCTTATGTTGCAATGTCTCTCATTAAAGCTTTTTACATTCATATTAACTTATCATTAAGCCAAAAATCACTTAAAAGGTACTGCAACAACATAAATAACTGAGAAGCTAACAGGAATGTGGTCTATTCCTTTACTTTACTCATGCAAAAAAAAAAAACTCAAAAAGCTTTCAGCTCTTCCAACTCAAAGGAAAAATATATAGAGAGATCACAGTTTGTTTTTTACACTAAGATATTTACATACAGTTCAAGTTTGACTTGTTAAACCTTACGGCGACATCTTCTGGAAAAGAGTCGCACAGTAACCTGTGGCTGTGTGCATGAGGGACTGCTACATTAAATAACTGAGATCAGGAGAATCTGATATGGGTTTTTCAAATGAGGTAGTCAACCGTCAGAACTGCTACACCAGAAAGTGGGGAAAACTAAACCATGACTTCTACATCAGCAGAAAAACAAGTCTTTACATTTTAATGTATTTTAGAAATCACAAAGGTTTTTTTTTTTAATCATGCTGGATGATTGTCAGTGCTAATACAGTTAATAAATAAAAGACCAGATTTAACCTATTTTTCAATTTGACAATGAAGACTCAAACTGAGAAGATTTGCATCCAGAAGTGCAGGTGTGCACACAGAGCATCAGTCCATGCAGTTAGTTAAGTTCATCTTTTGAACTATCAATAACCTGATATTAAACCATCAAGTGGGAACTTTATTTACCTCTTGAAGTGTGCTTGAAGTATTTCTTAATGTAAATATTGGAAATGTGATTATTAAGAGCTCGGAATCCATTAATTTCTATAACAACAAAAACAGTAGTTACTAATGATAGTGGTGAGAAAGGTTGGCTCGAGCTGCGGCAACCTTGTAAAAGAATAATGAACCGTGAGAACGTTTTCTGGATTTTTCCTGAGGTAAAAATAATGCACCAAAAGGTGTTCGTGTTGGCTGAAGCTGCAACCAAAACCAGGCAAAAACTGAAAGAAGATGGCAACAGAGAATGAGCCTTCTGCAAAAGTTCAGCACACTCCAAACTTAGAACACGATTTAGAGAAAATAAAAGACTCATTTTAAATCTCAAATACATAAATAGGAATATATATGGTTTTAAACCTACAGTGAGACTCATAAGTTAATCAGAAACAATAATAGTTTATAAAGTAGTTGTTTTTTTTAAAGTTAAAATAATTTACATCTTTAAAAATCAGGCTATTCTTTATCATTTTCATTGAGTTTTTTGGTGGAAAGTTATGAAGTGTGCATACTAAAACTCAACTGTGACTAGGTTAGCTAACAAATGCTGATAAAATACCATCTTCCTGAAAGAGGGCTGCAAGCTAACTCTTTATCCCATGTACCTGACTCATAGGTAGGATAGTATTTTACTGGCCCATGAAAAAAAAGAGATGAAACAGTAAAGGCTTAGACCTAAAGAGCAACACTATCAATAACCGTTTAAGGTAGACATCTGAGAGGACAAGCACACTTGTCAGTAAAGGTGAGCTATTTGAGGCAATGGTTTCAAAGAGCATATCTGTAGCTGAGGTATTGTTTGGTTTGGATAGTTACAAATAATATGACATATTTCTATGACAAGCACTGAACCTCAGTTTAGTAGTAGCAGAGGCAAACAGGGATAAAAAGCCTTTCATGTCTCTGGATACATACTTGATGGGGTTGAACAGGAGTGTGGAATTCAAGTTAATAGCCTTTCAAGAGCACTACAACACAAATAAATATTTTATAAAGACTGCTTAGAGTTAATAAATAAATAGTTAATAAATATAGTAGTGTTTGGACATATTGTTGTCCCCAACATCTTTTTCAGTTAAGGGGAGCAAGAAGAGGACTCTGCTTTTCCACATTTTGCAGTACCAGCGTCTAAACGTATGGCCAGTACTGTGAGAGGACACACTGGGGCGCCATATACCAGGCTGCAGTTTGGCGCTGTGTGTCAGGAACACATCTACAGAGAAAGGAACTGATATTTTCAAAGCAGATTCGACATAGAAATCATGTGGCACGGTGTGTACTGAAGAGAGACACTTAAATGTGTATATGACACTGTCCAGAGGATGCACTGGTTGAAGAACTCTTGTTATTGTTAGTGTGTTGTAGATGTTTCACTCTTTGGATAAGAAGTTTCCATTGCAGGAATCAGTCCCACTCTCTTCAGATGCATACTCTTTTTTCTCTGAGACGGAGACGGTGTTCTGAGAGTTTGCCAGCCCTTTCCCTTCGGGGGACTGTGAAACCCGCATTTCCTCCCCCTGGCTTATCGGCTTCATTTTCTTTTTAGGGGGATGTTTCAAGGTCCCCAGGCGCTCCTTAACTTTGTATTCCAGGGTGCTGTGTGGAATTCCATAGACTGATTGGGCTTTAGACACACTCATTTTCCCACCCATCACCACCACAATGGCCTCTTCAAGCAGCTCGGTGTTGTATTGTCGATATCGCCCCCGTTTCTTCCTTGGCTGCTTGTTCCCCGGATCAGACTCTGAATCGACTGAATAATTCTCCCCCAAGGATTGACGGTCAGTAGGGAAAGGCCAATATTCCTTCTCTGAACCTGAGCTATTAGATCCCACGCTGCTCCTTTTCTGGATCTGTCTGGGTAGAACAGAGCAAAGCTTCGTTCCAAAACCATTCTCAGAGAGGGAACCTGAATATTCTGTGGCTATGGAATCCCAGCACGGGTCGGCTCCTTTGCCCACAGCTCGCACTTGAGGGATCTTGAGGTCAAAAGGGGAGGAATGAGAAAGGGACAGGTCTTGCTCCACACAGGTCTCATTGAGATTTCCTCTGTCAGTGGAAAGCGACTTTGTCAAAAGTCCTGCCGCTTTCAACAACCTTGGTATGGCTTTAAGGTGCTCGCCTGCTTCGCTGCTGGTTTTGAGTTTGAGTAGGGCCCCGAAATGGGCTTTAGAATTCCCAGAAGAAGACGCATTTCTGAAAATCTCAGTAGGGCTGGAAAGGTGGTTATGGCTGAGAGGTGACTCTGGGTCGCTCTCCAGATCGGCTTCCTCTTTGATGTGCAGCGAGTATGCAAGGGACGAGGAAGGCTTATAACAGGCAGAGTGGCCGAAATTCTCCCTCCTCCTCCCATCCTGTCGGCTCCTCTTATACAGCCCGACTTGTCCGTCCGCTCTCAAGGATCGCCTGATTGGATGGAAGGAAACTGGGTGTGAGCAGAGCTTGCACAGTGCCCTTTTCTTTTTTCTAAAAGGAGGATGGGTTGGGGTGGGGGGGAGGATTTTGGCCACTCCTTTATTCTATGACATTGCTTTGGTAACATCACAGTCTATAAGAGCAAGTTTCTGTGAATGTGTGTGAGAATTAAGAAGAAAAATGGCGCCAGTTAACAGTTTTTTTATTTGTTCTCATTAACTTTTCACAAAACATAAGAAATAAAAAAGGCAAAGAAAATGAACAAAGAATGGCCACTTTGAAATTGAAAAAAGTCCTAATTTTCCTGTGGTTCAAAATGTGCATCCACAAAGAAGGAACGTCCATAACTGCGGTCTGGGGGTTTGCATGTAGATTTTAAGCAGGGCACGGTATCAGTGCCATTCAAATACGGCCGTTTACGTTTAGGGTGTGACGTTACCACTGAACAAGCGCAGCAATAAAAGAGTAAGCCAGCACAGGTAAGATGTGGACACCAAGCTATTAAAACTAAAAATTGAAAGAAACAAATCCTTGTGAAATGATACTGTATTTGAATGAAAAAAACTAACATCTTAAGTCATTCATTTCATTTTGTAAAGGTTTTACTGCTTGAAGATCTTAAGGCTTAAAGCCTTTTAAAACCATTATATTTTTGGTGAATTCTTAATTGGGTTTTCACTGTTTTATTTATCCAACGCCTACAGTTTGAGTGGAACCCTTCTAAGCTGTTCAAAGAGTATAGAAGTTTTAATGTTGTCTGATGCACTGTGGATAAAAACTACTCTAGTCCTCACGACTTTCAAAGCAGTGTGTTAGAGAAGAATTCAAAGCCATTGGTGCTTAAATAATACGAATACATTTTTAATCAAAAGGCATATTTAAACCTAGTTCAGTCAAAAGATGCAAAGAAACTTTTCATTCAAAGGAGCCTGAGCCCAACCAGAAAACAACATTGAATACGTGGAGCTCAAATGTTTGACTTATTTAAAATGTACTACAAATATTAGTTTTACCACGGAAAATGATATGGCAAAAAAATGATATGATACTCTAAGTATTTTTTAATATAGCTTCCAATCTTATATATAAAAAACAACTTTACCAGTCTAATAGCAGATGTCATAGCACAATTTTATCATAAAAAATGATAAATAATTGTATGTTTCCTTATCCTTCCTTAGAATATGTCAGCATATTTCAGACGCCATCTGCCACGAGCCCACTAGAAATTGTGCATCCATTTTTCTGCAACAAGAGAATCTATTCTTCCTGCACAGAGCTTATTAAATAAGACGGCTGGTTCACATGGTTTTCAAAGTTAAAGTGTCGTTATTTATTTTTTTGCAACCAATCTTGTACTAATATGCAACAATTTGGATCACAAAGGATCACAAATCTTAATTAAGGTCCTTTTATTGATGAAGAGAAACAGGTTGAAGTTTGAAGCCATACCTGCTCACAATCTGACAAAGGTTGTCTGTTTGGTCTGATGGTCAGACAGAAGATGAAAGGCTTATAGTTGGATCAAATTAACGAGTAAAGAGCACTTCAGTTTAACCCTTGGATGGAATGATTTTTGAAAGCAGAAACAGCAGAGGACCTTCTTTTCTGTCTTTTTAAGAAGAAATGTTTGTAACTGTTGTGTTTTGTGATTGAATTGATGTTACCGATTTTAATATGACTTTTCATTTATGTCTATGTTAAGACAGAACAAATCTTTTTTTTTAAAACACAATGGGAACTATCAGAAGGAAATGTTTCTTACCCCTTCAGTGTGGATGTGGCCGGAGAAAGGCAGGCACTCTGGACAGGTACGCCACTGCTATAGCGATTCTTTTTGATCGACAAGTCAAGAACTCCTTCTACGCAACAAAGATGGAAAAGAAACACAGCATTACATTCAGTGTGGCTCAGAGCCAACTGACCATTACAGTAAAGAAAGAACTGCTCTGTTAAAGATGTATTTCACACTACCTTGTTCACCGGGCTCTGCCGTGGGTTTCTTGATGGTGAGGTCAAGAGGAGCATCCTGGTCCGCCATGAGGAGCTTACTTAGGACGGGGTTCTGGTTGTGTGCTGGCCCAGCCAGAAGGGTGGCAGGACTGGTAGGAGGAGGAGGAGCCCCTGTCAGTAAGGGTGGGGTCGGCAGGCTTTGGTCAGTGTGAGGCAGGGAGTCTGAGCAACCGTCCTGAGGGGAGCTGGTTTTTGAGGTATATTCGGCAGCAAACTGACTGATCATTCTCTGAAGAATCTCACGAGCCACTACTGGAATGTGAGGGTCTGAGAAACCTGGCACATCTGAGACAAAGAAATATGGGAGTTTAAAAAAAGTGTTTAATGTGCATTCCTTTTCTGAGCAATAAGAGCAGCGATTGTTAGACACAGAATGTGAGCTAATGATACTGTAAGAGTAAAAGCTCTTTTCTAGCTATCCTGCAGAAACATAAACTTGAGAATGAAAAAATACACCACCTCAACCAAACAGCTGAGACGCAATACTCACCTTTTCTGCGGAGAACAGCACTGAGAAATTCTTCAGCTTGTTTCTCTAGTCTAATTATTGTGATCTGATCTTTAACCAGGAGGGGTTTGGGGGTGTCTTCAAGACCCTCCTTATTCAAGCCAATTATGTGTTCCTGTCAAATCATGAAAGTGACCGTTAGACTTTTACATTATACATCAGCAACAATATTTGTCATTCAAATCTAATGGAGATATAAAGCTAAGACTAATTCTATAATTGCACTATAATGGATAAGAAAAATACTTTTAAAAGGTCTTTCACACAAGGATTTATCTTGCCATTATATCCGAACTGATAATTGTGATATTTTTCTCACAGTCTGTACTGTTTTGCTCAAATCTAGCAGTTTAAAAACTGCTAAATATGACCATTTAACAAGACCAATAATTCTCCCACACAACAGCTGCCAGCATGTAATATGAGAAAAGAATAGAGAAAATAAATCTTACTTTGACTTTGTCTCTTCTCATACAGCAGAAAAGGCAATTTTCATCAAATGACCAATCAGACACTGCAACAGGCGTCAAGTCTATGAACACAGACAAAATGTAGACAGATATAGAATACAACATTTTTGGTTTTCAGCAATACTAAGCAAGATTTTACTGTGTGAATTCAATGGGTGACAGTTTTTGAGTCACTTCAGAGCTGAGATGACAGAATAAAGTGTGGGCTGTAATGGAAAGTGTTCTGACTTGTTTAAACAAGGGTACAGTGAATCAGAAATACAATACAGGTCCAATGAATGCGCACGGCATATCCAAATACAACAACCTCCTTTGAATTACAGCAAACGTAGTAGTATGAATATAATAACCACTGTATGACTAATACCAAATGACTACAAAGAGATCCTAACAATACTGACCAAAAGCATTCTCAAAACATAAGTCATGTTCTTTTCTTCAGACAGTGAGGCAGAATTGCATCATATGATTGTGTAGAGGTACCAGACGGTACAACGCAGCAGAACTGTCATTATGAGCAAGGGGAGAAAGAAAATAGTGTAAGATACTCACCCTTAAATAATTTTAGGTCTTCTACCAGCTCTGGATCAATCAGACCTTCGAGGATGCTCTCAAAACCTGAGGAAAGACACATAATTCACTACATCTCCAAGCTAAACGTGCATAGTTTGAACCCAGATTAGTTTTCAGTAACATGTAATTAAGGCTTGATGTTGAGACCATAGCAGAATAGAGCCTCAGAATGAATCACTGATTGATACAGTCTTTCCTACCCAATGGCCCAAATTTTTCTTTTTGTACTTAAAATCTACTAACCATCACTCAAATTTCATTTCTTAGCCACATACTAAGGTTTGTCTTTACCTTTCCATTTCAACTTGACAACTGCTGTAAACAACCCTCTACTTCCATTAAAACATACATCATCGCCCAACACTAAATACATGCCTTATCTTGTTGTTGCCAAGCAACTAAAGCACCTACAGAGTTCAGATCGACTGTATGTTATAACATCAATAAAGAGACAGCTAGTAATAAGTCCTTGGTGATGTTGTGGACTAAAATTCTGAAAGAAGAAAGACCAAATGTTCAGTCCAATGACGGTTTACAGCAGAGCATATATAATTAGAAGAAATCTTCTATAGTCTCAGCTGTTTAAAAAGAGATGGCATGGTATACTGCATGAGAAGAATCTGTGGATTAACACAAAATGAAATGTCTGCTCACTGCCGCAGGGTCCGAATAACCAATCCAAAACTACTGCACGAGTTAAATCAAGCAATAAAGAGGTCAAAAAGAACATTTGTCTACTGAACTGTATCGTAAATGAGAGTTGTATTCCAAAAGTGCCCCCCACTGCAAGCAAAATGTAGGGTTTCAAAGCAACTTTCTGATGCATGTAACACATAACAGATGGCTTTTAAAAGCTACACTGAGCATAAATGTAATTAAAAACATTTCAACTGAAATAAAAATGAATGTTGCAGATTCAATGAGAAAACACAACTGAATCATTGTCTTACTACAAACCATAGTGAATGCCTACTTACGCTACATCTTCACAGATGAGCAGAGAAAGCAGCGAGGAAACCGTCAGCCCTTACCCTCCACTCTCTTCCAAACTCACACTGGATCCAATAAAAGCTGTCATCTGTTAAAATGCCCCACTCTGCCTCCCTACAAATTCCCACCCACTTTTCAGCAGCCAAACATAAAAGCGGGTGTGGGGGGAGTGTAGCTGTGAACACACAGCTTTGCCTATAGCTGCAGCATGAGCCTGTTTCTGGGTTAGTGCACAGGACTTCAGCTGTAGCTATCCAATCCTATTTCTGAAATATTTCAGAGGCATGAGGAGAAAAGTGGGTCATCCAGTTTCATTTGACAGAGCAGCGCCATGACATCAAACTACTCTTCAGGAATTTAGTTTAGGGCATTTCAAAATGTGTCATACTGCAATCCATGACGCCAAGGTCAAAATCACAAAGAGCCTAGTATGGTATAATAGTCTAAATGAAATAATAACAACAATAAAAGCAGCATTTCATCACAGTCCTCTTCAAAAGAAAACCTTTTTGGGATGAGCAATGGAACTTGGGAAGAGCTAGCAGCCTAAATGTGCTCAAGATAAAAAATTAATGGCATGTAGAATTTTCTGGCAACCTCTAAAAAATACATGAAAAACAGAAATGCCAAATTCTGGTCAAAGCTAACATGCTTATTACACTGAATAAAAAAGATAAATGAGCGACTATTCTGTGTGTCTGGCATCAGACTAGATTTGTCATCTTAACTTAAAGGGAATTTCCTTTATAAACAAATTTTGGCAGTAAAGAGGAAATGAGCCAGTAATTAAGCTTCCAAATAATAAGCACAGGATCAGAGGTATAATGTGATTATTAAAAAGCTGCTGAAAAAGTCCAAAATTATAGCCAGCAAAGCAAAAAACGTATAATGTTAACAGTTAGGCTCTACTAAAATAACGAAAGACAAGTAAATTAGGTTAATAGGGCTGACAAACTTCATGCACAACATGGACATTAAGCTTTTGTGCCATTGATCTTTATCCTTAATTGTTTGTGCACACTTTGTTTCAGATTGTTTAATAATGTCACTCAACTTCTAAAAAAGATTCATTAAAATGTATTTAGTTACTCCATTCTTTCTTGCTATTTATTCCAAATGCCTATAACATTCTGTCCCTTAGGCAGTTTATGACAGGATGGAAGTATATTTTTTCCACTACAGACTTAATGTGATTTTTTTCCGACATTACTCTGAGAAGGGACACAAATCAGGACCTTTTGAATCTACTTCAAGCAGAGAAACTATTCCTCATTAGTTCAAATCACCAGCTAAGGTTTTTCTGCAAGCCTTCAATAACATTCTCAGACATTTTAGTCATTTAGTCAGTTCCTAAATTTGGATTTAGGCTAGGTTTGATTTTCCTTGTGCATTTATAAATATTTTGATGACATGATAGATAAAAATATGTGGTAAATTAATCTCATCTGAGGTAAAAAAAAAAAAAATCTCTTAAGTTGGAGCAAAAAAGTGGAACCTGTCCAGTAAAACCACTAAAGCAATAACAGGGACAAAGTTTGAGGAAGGTTGTTGTTATCTGGGAAATGACCCATGAACCATAGCCTTGAATGTGAAACTATCCGGGCTTATTCATAAAGCCTTTGTACACATGCCGAGAAGTAACTCTGTACAATCTGCCTTAACCTTCTTCTGACCTACATCCTGAGCCAATCAGACAGAAAGATTTGGATTGTTTAACACCCTGGTCCTTCCCACCAGTGCTTAGAAATAGAAATCCCTCAGATCTACAAACATCTATCAGTATCCTCCTTAATTCCTAACCTTACCTATGTAAAGTTACTGGGAACTCAATATGATGCATGATTCCCTGTTCATTTCGGGTAGTAGATTTCTGGTTGGACGTGTAGCCAGAGGGTCAGTTTTCTTTTATGAGTCAATGCACAAAATCAATGAGCAACTCCCTTGTCATTTTTACATTACACTGAAAGTGCATGACAGCATGTTCATCAGATCCAGTGAAATTCAATGCAAGATAAATATTCCAGGCACATATAGGGGATCCGGAAATGTTAATAAATGTATAACTTAATTCTTCATATGCTGCCCCTTAAAGCACAACAGGACTTTGAATACCTTATACAGCAGATGTCAGGGAATCTAAAGCCTAAAGCTCCTGTTGAGAGGCACAACAAAGGGAAGAAAGGTCAGGAAGTATTTGCTTCCCAAAGCTTGGTGTAGTTTTGTAAATGATCATTTCAACCACTCAGTTTTATTTACTTTTGTTTTTTAAACACAGGAAGTATATACCCTTGCTATACAATTTTTACATGGAATTTGAGAACTTATAGTATAATTTCTGAGAAATTATGTCTTTAAGACAACCACTTTTAAGTGCTGCCCACTAGGGTGCTAATCATATTTCATGCAGATATTTAGCGTATGGTACAGGAATATTTAGGCAAAACTATAGCTGTAGATATAATTTATTGTGTCTCTAACTTAAAATAAATTCTATAACAACATTATTCCCCTTTCATGTCCTTCATAGATCAACATTTAATTTTAATATGCCCTATGAACTCCCTAAAATATCTTTGCACAAAATAACCACCAAAGACACCTCTATCCATTTGTTTTGGATGTTTTTTTCTCATAAACAGTCACGTAGTGAAGACAGTAGCGTTATCTACTGAGACACATATTAGATTTACAATTGTTGCATGTCCTTCTCTTATTACTAATAAATAGCCTTAGCATGAGATTAAAACGTTCTTTCCCGTGGATGACCCACCCTGCCTTCTGGTATTCTCCAAGCTGATGGTGTATAGTACTGCATCAAACCCCACGCAGCCCAACCCCCACTCTTCCACTGTACATACTACCTCAGAAGGGCAACCAAAAGCTTGTAAGGAAGGAACTAATGAATGTCTAAACTGGTATGTCAAGTCAAAGCTGACTTCCAAAAGCTGGACATTTTAGATGAGGTATTTAGAAATACAAGGAGACACACAACAATTGCCAAGAAAATTTAATCCATGTACGTGTGTGGCTTTTGAAAGCACACATTTGTGTACATAGGGAATGTTGTATGAACAAGGTTCTTGAGATGCTATATTGAAATGGAGAAAGAAAGCTTCAGATGAGCACATACATGATAAAGCTGAACTTCTGTTCTCCATTTCAGGTCAACCACCCAACGATTAGGCCCGACCATTTCCAAAACACCCATTACTCCCTACTATGCAAAGAAAAAAATTACCAAGTAAAAAAAGTGGTCAGCTGTTACATGGGCATAATCAATGTTTAAATTTGATTATATCAAATATTCTTTGTTGACAGAAAGGGAGTTGGACCAGGCCACAAAGCAAAAGAGATGTGGCAACTGAGTAAGATGTGCAAAAGCCTTCATGATATGATGCAAACTAAAAGTCCCATAGTGTAATGTGAACAAAGAATATTTTTGAATAACAAATAAAAGCCTATAGGGATTTTAGGAAAACATGTAAAAAGGGTTGCATGCGCACACAGACTCCTAATTACACATGCCCAAACACACAGCCAAAGAAAATTATCAGACATGAGCTTAGGTCTATAGTGTATTAGGGAAAATTTGACAAAAATAACAACCATGCAGCAAGCATGCAGAATACGGACTGCACAGCAGCTTGATTACAGACAGGACAAATCGCCTGACGTCAATATTTGCTTGTTATTTGTTTGAGCAAACCCTTTAGCCCACTCATCCACATGTAAAATTCAAGCATGAATAACTAACATTCCAGGCATTTTAAAATGTCAGCTGCTGATGGTTCATTCCAAATTTCCCCAAATCAAGACAGAACACACATTTTCAGCCACACAGTTTGCATCTGGGGGCTGGTGTTCCATAAACACATGTATGGGGCAAACATACAGACAATTGTTGCTGCTGTTCAGTGGGACAATTGTGCTTGTCTGTGCCCAGCAGTTTTATAGCTCACATTAGATACAAGGACAAAATGTCCATTTCAGGGACAGTGCAGTGGTGGTGGCAGTGGCGTGCGACACTCTCCACCAAAAAGCCAAACAAAACTAGGTCCTTGTTGTTGTGGACAGAATATGCCATTCTACAGCCACCAGACTGATGCTGTTGTCATGTACTCTGGAGCTTTACAATTATAGCCCAAACAGAAGGGGCATTTGTCAATCATAAAGAGAGAACTGACTGGCTAAACAGACCTGAGAATACAGATATTGAGCAACTACAAAAGCTATAATTGTCTCCTCACTTTCTTGTCAAAGGCCACCATGGAGGTTGTCGGGATTACGCCAAAATAGTTTAAAATTTACACTGCACACAGTATAAAACTTATTGTGCTAAGGACAATCATTTGTGCAGCTATACTAGGTAGGGTAACATCTAACATGAGACCTTATTCTGGACAAAAACTTGACCTAAACTTATTTTATTTTTTTACTGCCGGTCATGAAAAACAGGCCCCAAACTTTAGCTGCTTAGTAAAATGTTTTGTGCACTTGCTTTTTCTAATTCGGAAAGAGACAACAATAAATAAACTCACAAACCAACAATATTGCATTTGCAAACTGTATGTTTTGTAAATGCACACAATATTTTGATGACAAACATCTAATCTCTATCAAAATAAATCAGTTTGTATTATTATGAGTCCAGTAGAAGGTGAAATGTGAAGGTGAAATTTAATATTGTTTCAAATTTTTAATAGGGTTTCAGACTAGACGTTTAGAAGATGCATTATATTTGGTATCATCTAACAGATAAATAGGTCTACTTTCATAAAACAGAAAATGTCAAACAGGCTTTTGCTTCTCCATAAACTCATTGTTCAATTTGTGGAAGTTTTCCTTATGATTAAAGGGATTTTTTCTTTGTAACTAAAAGCTGGAACTCCTGCTCAGCATGAAAACACTGACGTCCATGCCTGTACATTTAAAAGGTTATCACCGATGTGAATTCCAAGTGCATCTTACACATTTCTGCATTAAAAACCATCAGTCAAAATGCATACAAGTACTACAGTAAAGCCATCCATCAGTATGTGTGGAACACATCCTACTAAAATTGAATGTGAAATTGCACATTGGATAAATATATTTAAAAAACAGCCTATAGTAAGCATACAGATTATTGTTTGGTATAAATAGAAAAAGCTCCTTGTCATTTCGTTTGCCCTAAAGTATAGACTTGTTTTCTTCGCGTGGCATGACAAATATCTTTAGAAATCACCATTTGAGCTGGTTTACAATCTAACTACTAGGTGGTTGGACCAAATGCCAAGTTAAGATGAGTTGTCCCGTAATATTTAGGCTAAACTGCAAATTCAGCTAAAAAAAAAGTGTCTTCAGCTGCACATTTACGGCACCACAGCCAGGAGATGTTGTTAAAATGACTTTCATACTTTTAGTCACGGTCTACGGACAGTTTGTAATCGAGTACAATGGTCCTAAAGGCAAAATTATAACATCATGCTAACACGTTACCATGTCTAACTTAAGGAGATACCGCACCATGTGACGTTACAGTTTAAGAAAAATGTACATTTCTCATTTCATTGACTACATTTAAGTTATTACGGGAAACAAAGAAGATAAAAAATTTGAGCTGAATTTGATTTTTTAAGCGCATTTTTCGGCGAGTCAAATTAGTTTCTCTGGGGTCTCTGCTACTTCCTCAATGCAGTAATGCGCGTCCACGGGAGGTAATTCGAGAAGGCAAGAAAGCTAATCGTTAACTGAGAACATCACCCCACGGGTCTGTGTCGCCCTCCCCCATTCAAATGTACAGTAACATCATCGCACGGGAACGCGCATTTCAGCAAACTGGTTCCTTTTGGCCGACGCGACACTCACCGACACTCCCTTTAAAACAAGCACGGTGCCCTTTAAACAAACTAACATTAAGCCAGTTGATACTTTCAATCCTCAACCGAGACTTGAGAGCAATAAAAGAAGCGCCGAAACCCCGGGGATGATGCTACAATGTTACAAACTGCAACATTTCACTGACTGCCGTAACTGGCTGCCGTGAGAAGGAAACAGTTAAGGACAAAAAAGTCGTTCGGAGATGCCCCGAGTCAGTGCGGTAATAGATGGTTATTTACACCGATTGAGGCCGCACAGAAGCGAAATTCGGCGAGTAAAAATGTAAAATGTGTAACTGCCAGTATCCTTACCTACACAGTGAAGGAGTTTGTGTCGCCACGAGTCAAGTTCCTGCCGAAAGCCGCGCCTGTCGATTGTGCATTGCTGCTTTTTGCACAGACTCGCCATTTTCTACCGTCCCTCTCAGGCGGGCACCAGCACGGGAAGAGGAAGCGCTGTGCTATGTGAACGCGCGCGCCCCCGTGCAGAAGAGGAAATCTCCTCAGGGGAAAAGCCAACACTTCTCTTTCACACATAACTAAACCGAATACTCTCCTTAAACCAATGTTGGAAAAGGGGAATTTACAAATGAATTAATTAATGTTACTCTGTTATAATAATGGCATCTTCATGTTTTATAATATCATATATAATATAATCCCAGACTACAATTTGAATTGTTGGTGGATTATTTCTGCAGTTTACATCAAGATCGACAGAGGCATTTTTCAGAGGTTTAACAATAAGTAGAAAAGGATGAGTTTTATTTAGGACTGAAGGCAACATAAACAGTGCCTTTGGACCTTATACCCGCAGGCGCCCCAAATTCACTGTAAATTCCCTTACGTTATGTAGGGTAAACAGGAATTTCATTAGATTTACAACAGAAATCTAGGATTCTAGAACAATGCTCAAAGTCTAAGTATCGCTTAAGTAATACAAAGCCTTTAATTCAGACTGAAACATGTTTTACCATGACATGATGTCGACTATCCCTGGCATTTTGACCTTTCCTCAAAACTTGCAAAATGAAAGTGAAACTTACTGTTTCTATACTGCATAAAATAGTATAGTAAGAATATTCAAGAATTACTGAGAGATGTCGGTATGTTAAGGCAAGACTGGAAAACATTGTTAGATGGTTGTGATCTGCAAGCCCTCAAGTGGCCACTAAATAAGAAATGATCGAGCTACCGGGATCAATACAGCCACAGATTCAGGAGTATATTTCCTACACTCTGAATTCAACACAGCCTGTTTTTCTATTTACAGCAAGGACACACCCTCACAATGCTGTGTGACCATACCACAAACAACATCCTTAGGGTGGGCTTGTGCTTGCAAAACATTTTGGAGTTTTTGGAAATCATGATGTGTTTTCTCTCGTTCGAGGTGGGGGTTGATCGTTGGCTTGAGCTTAATGTTCACATATTTTAATCAATTCATATTTAAATGTATTGTTATACGTTATTTTATCCATTAAAAACAATATAAAAATATGCTTTTCTGGATTGGTTTTCTAATATGACATTAAACTAAAGTCACAGAGTGTAATAAGCTTTGAAAAACAAAATGAAAACCTGACAGTTTTATTTATTTTTCTCAGCAATCATATACGATTTTGTTAATGAGATAAAGATATCTTAATTGGATTCTCATCACATGTGTCAAAGTATCTCTGTTGACAATGATCATGCGAGTCAACATGAGAAAATAGCATATTGGTTGGATATCAACGACTGGACAAAATTACTCAAGGAGCTAATAATCTGATCTTTTCATAATAGATATGTCTGCCTCTGTCTCAGCAGCTGTACGCAATTCCTGTGCTGCCTTCAAACACTACCGTAAATATTGCGTTTCGTGGTGCTTGCACCAAATACAGAGATTGCATATCTCTCCATGAAAGACTATTTTACTCCGTGCCAGTGTCACTGAGATACCCTTAATTTAATGATCGTACAATTTACTTCAATTTCATATGACATATGATTGTGTTGAAAAATTCCGACACATCCTTGTACCGTTTGTTTTTTCGAGTTTACGAGCAGCTCTTGAATGCACCATACGTTTCTCAGCCGGTGTTTTCATTCTTTTACGCCCCTCCGCTCCTATGCGCTGGGTTCGATGCCTCAGGGACTGTTGGCATTGTATTCAGGTAAATGGTAGCCTTTCAGGGGCTCATGCTCCCCCTATTATAGATGTTTTAATATAGCTATAGCTTAACCCATCAGTAAGATAGATTTTTTTATTCAAAGCGACAGCCATCTCAGCAACATGTAGACTATGCGAGGGCAGCACTGATCGATAGAAATTGACAGCTTTAGGAGGGTCTTTGCTCAAATATGGGCGCATTTCAGTCTGAATGATGAATTATTTACCTGAGGAAACCGCATGGGTAAAATAACACCACACTGCCATTCAGTACTACAGAGTACCATTTGTTACAAAGAGAGAGTTGCTGAACAATACTTGGAATCACTGTGGAATAAGGTTGTGTTTATTTCTGGATGCTGCATTCTTGTTTCCTGTCTGCTTTTTCGTAGAAGGGGTATAATTGTCCACTGTGCTCTTGAAGTGGGAGCCACAACCGAAGCACACCGTGCATACAAGAGAGGCACTGGACAACAGTTGGAGGATCAGGTGTAAGTTGTCTTTCCATCTGATAAAGGGATTGTAGCTTAATTTTACATGGAAATATTATATATATAGATAGATAGATAGATAGATAGATAGATAGATAGATAGATAGATAGATAGATAGATAGATAGATAGATAGATAGATAGATAGATAGATAGATA